TTGATCCTAAACATCCTTTTAGATTTTTTAAATGGAATTAAAACATTACAACGGAAAACACTGAGTTCGATTATTTAAAAAAATTAAACTGACTGAATTTCATAGGCCACTAATAAAAGGAGAATTCTGGAAGATAAACTCGAAATGATGATGTTGAGCTCACAGCTATATTTCAAAACTAATATTCAATTCAATTCAATTCAAATTTATTTGTATAGCGTTTTTCACAATACATATTGTTTCAAAGCAGCTTTACAGAAAGTGCATTTCAGAAATGTACATAGAAGAATATAGTTAGTTAATCATCATGTATTAATTTAGGGCATAACATATCGCCGGCGTCGAGTCGTCTCATCGCAGGTGTTGGGGCATCTGAAGTCTCTGTGAGAGGCTGGATACAAACTGGAGCTGACGAACGCTATTTACCTCAGGACTAGCGTCCCGAGATAACAGCAGAAAAGCAGATGGGAAATAATTAGCGTAGCTGCTGTTCATAATATTAATGCATTCGATCTGATTCAACAGTGGTATAAAAGGTAAGCATTATGTGAATGCTTGGCTAAAGAGATGCGTCTTTAATCTAGTTTTGAACTGGGAGAGCGAGTCTGAGCAACGAACAGTATCAGGAAGGCTATTCCAGAGTTTAGGAGCTAAATGTGAGAACGCCCTCCCTCCTTTAGTGGACTTAGATATCCTAGGAATGACCAGAAGCCTCGAATTTAGGGATCTTAAAGAATGCGATGGATTGTAGGGCGATAGAAGGTCCATTAAATACACAGGAGCTAAACCATTTAGGGCTTTATAGGTCAGTAATAGTACTTTGTAATTGATACGGAACTTAATAGGTAACCAGTGTAGAGATGATAAAATTGGTGTTATATGATCATATTTTCTTGACCTAGTAAGAACTCTAGCGGCTGCATTTTGCACTAACTGTAGCTTGTTTATTGAGGATGCAGGACAACCAGCTAATAAAGCATTACAGTAATCTAGTCTCGAGGTCATGAATGCATGAACTAACTTTTCTGCATCAGAAACAGATAGCATGTTACGTAATTTAGCAATGTTTTATAAGGTGGAAAAAGGCAGTTCTTGTAACATATGAAATATGATTTTCGAAAGACAAGTTGCGGTCTAGTATAACACCCAGGTCTTTTACTGTAGTGGATAAGGTAACAGGACATCCTTCTAAATTAAAGTTGTATTGTAAGAGATTTTGTGGGTAGTTTTTTGGACCAATAAGTAATACCTCCGTTTTATCTGGATTTAATAGCAGGAAATTACACGTCATCCAGCATTTTATATCTTTAAGACACTGTCAATTTAGATTAGTTAGTGTTTTCATCTGGTCGTGATGAAATATATAATTGAGTGTCATCAGCATAGCAGTGAAAATTAATTCCATGTTTTCTTATAATATTACCAAGTGGCAGCATATATATTGAGCAGAGGGCCTAACACCGATCCTTGCGGCACTCCATAGTCTACTGACGTTATCTTCGATTTTTCCCCATTTAAACAGACAAAATGGTAACGGTCCAATAAGTACGATCTGAACCAGCTTAATGCCTGTCCCTGAACACCAGTGTAGTTTTGTAGTCGATCCAAGAGTAATAGCGACCTGCCTGCTTTTTAAAGACGTCTTACATCAGCTGTTTAAAGATGATCCTCCTTTCCACTATAACACTCAAAAAATCATCATCATTTAGCAATGGCGAATGACCTAGGCGTTGATTGGCAGGTGGGGTTGGCATGGCAACAGGTTCCATCTCTTATTAGCATGCAGGTGGAGCAGGTAATGGATTACAAGAGGAAGTGACATTAGTCAGCATTGTTTGACATCATGTTTCCTCAGGCCGATATCTGCGTTTCAGCCGAGAGAAAAGAGCGTGAGGTGGTGCTAACCTGAATGCAAATCAATTCACAGGGTTTGTTTCACGAGTGAGAAGAAAGTTTGTGCCAGCTGAGTAGTTTTAAGATTATAAGTTTTAAGGTTTGGGCGATTGGTTCTTCTCTGTGTGGCCTGTTTGTCCATCTTTCTTTAAGACTTTGAACACGTTTGAGATTAAATGGGGTGCCGACGGTGAGCCAGACCCGATGACTTTATATATGATAATTGTAACTTTATATGCTCACATTTTTTACTTTATACCTCACAATTAAATTGACTTTTAGGCCTGGTTTCACAGACAGGGTTTAGATTAAGTCAGGATTAGGCCTCAGTTCAATTAGGACATTTATGTGACTTTATATCTTACAATTTTCAATTTATATGCTGCGATGAGATTATATCTTACAGTAACGACTTATTAAATGCCACATAGAGACTTAATATCTCAATTGTGACTGTATATAGACAGTTTTGACTGGTTATCTCACAATTTTGAATATATATGCCACAAAGAGATTTTGTATGCCACTATATTTCTCACAACTGACTGTGACTGTTTTAAAATGATTATTTTTTTAAAGCTGAGAGTGTGTTCATGTTACAGCCCTCACAAGGACATCTGTGACCTGCCATCCATCATTAATAATATTCCAGTGGCGTTTTAAAGCATTAGGCTGCTTATTGCCCAGCTACTGTTATGAAGGAAGGAGTTTTCATTGTAGATGTCCAGTTTGCTGCTCTGTGATTAGCTGGAATTGACATGCGCTCTTTTCTGTGAGTCACACACCTACGATCCTTCAGGAATAATGTGCAGTGTGTATACAGTATACACAGCTGCGGTGATGAATATCTCAGCTCGCACGCTTCAGGCCCAGGAATAGAGTTTGATCAGGTATGAAGCACTTAGAGGAAGAACCGGAGAGAGACGCGCAGAAAGAAGGCCATCTATCAAACCGGTGAAGAAGTGATTCCCTGAGATTACTTTTCCCTCTCTCTCTCTCTCTCTCTCTCTCTCTCTCTCTCTCTCTCTCTCTCTCTCTCTCTCTCTCTCTCTCTCTCTCTCTCTCTCTCTCTCACTTTTGCCATCTGATCTGGACGATTTCGGTTTATTTTTCAGCACGAGAAACGTCAGCCCATCGAATCACACGGACCGGGCTCGGGGAGCGCGGCGCAATATTTCCCCGTGATTGATGATGCGTCTTCCTGTCGCGTGTCACCAGTTATTGTTTTCCTGAAAAACAGTTACGGATGCAGATGACTTCATATCGAGCTCCCTTAGTTCTCACCCTCCCGCGCTCGCCGTTGATGTTCCTTGGCGTTTTTTGTCTTTCATTAAGCCATTGTTTCCTCTGCCAGGCCTTTGACGTGATTGGAAAGGCGAGCGCGGGCAAAGAAGGGAAGTGCTAATTCATTAGTGCCTGGCGAATGAATTCATCAGCCGCCGCGGCTTTATGGCCGCTTGTCAACGTGCCAATCCGAGACGGTCAGAGTCCACGGCGGGCGCACACGTATTCTCTCTCATTACCGTCAACTTCCTCTCGGCTCATAACGCTACCGTGACATTATGTTTGACAGCTTCTGATTCCCTTGTCACATCTAATTTGACCATTGATGCTTAACGCACGTGCTCACAAACACAGACACCTGTCAGCTCAGATTTTAGTTTTTAATTTCATTTTATATTTGTTTATCACACTGCCCGTCGTGCTTATAATATGGCTTGGGAAAGACGCTGTAAGCTATACTCAACCGAATGCATTTCACACACAAGCTCTCAGCCGTTACACTAGAGTCTGATCTATAGACAATTAAAGTATGGTTGCCTGTGTAATGTGTCTAATTATTTTCTGATGGTTGTGTACATTAATTTGTTTGTAATTACTATTTTTAGTCACCTGCATGAATAATAGCATCTCTCAACGAGAGATAAGTGCGTGGGTGTGTATTTTCTGAACAGCATATTACCATACTCCTTGCAATATATTTGCAGGATGCATAATGTGCACTGTTTGATAAGTTTCTGAATGCATGAAATAACAGCGAACAGTCCTAGGAGCGCTGTATCCCACAATGCAATGTACTCGACTTGACCTTTCCAGTGTGGTGAATGAACCAGTGGTTGCATCAGCTGTGCTTTTTAGCATGTTCTTGATTCATTATGTAATTGGACTGCCAACATCAAGACATGCTAAATATATGAATGTATTTCTATTTAAATGAATTTATAAATATTTTTAATGTTTAATGCAATTTTAAATGTTTTTATTTTTGTTTATTTTTAAGATTATTTTATTTATTTTATATGAAAATATGAATCTTATTTAAATAATAAATTCAAATATTTTTAAAACAATACTTTTGTGAAAAATATTTAATTTTAATTTATAACATTATTTTAAATCAAGCTTTAAAACTTATTTTAATATTTGAGATAATAACTGGACACTCTTTTGAGTTAAAACAGTGACAACAATGTAGCATATGGCGGTTACTGACTGAATGTTTGACTTGATATCTGTTGTCATCTAATATGATATATTGCATTCAGATGTTTTTTATGTTTGACTGAAGTGTCCAAATATATTTTGGGGCCAGAATAACTCATTTTGCTTAGGAGTCTTAGGAGTTTCACATTCTCACGTTTTCATACTGTATTCTTTGCAGTCTTACATTCACAGTCATTTTTGAAACATCTGTTAGTGACATTGGCCAGTTTTTCATTCAGGGCTTTGCTCTGAGTGAGAATGAAATATCAGTATTGCATTATGACACAGAATCAGACACAAATCATCCTCTCTACCTTCCAAAGAACACCTTTTTCATACACTTATGAGCTTGAAGAAATATGAGAAATTCAATATTAGCAGTCAAATGCTGTAATTCCTGTTGTGCATGATTAATGGTATGGATTTTGTACAAAACAAACAAGGAAAACTGTTTGATCGATGCACACATAGTATACTAGTACCTGCAGTTCTCTTTGTTTTCAACATTGTGTGTCTCTTGTGATGCCCTTGTAAAATATCAAATATATTGTTTGTTTATATATTTTCAGCTGTGTGTCTTGTTTGTTTGCTAGTTAGTTAAGTTTCTTCTCGTCTGTCCTCAGCTGAAGGCTGTGTACGAGAAGATGGAGGTCCAGCAGAGGGCGATGGTGAGTCCTGAGGGGAGTGTGGTGGGGTCGGGTCTCTCCAGCCCTGACCACTCTGAACCCGAGCTCAGCGTCCTACAGCCCTACCTGGGCAGCGAGATCGAGGTCACCACATCTGCCCTCAAATCAAGTACGTATGGCAGTGCTAGAATTCACATGTCCACATCAATCAAAAACAAAATCCATAATGGAATCATGCTAAACATTTTATTTTTTTTAATTAATTTTTTTATTTTTTATTTATTTATTCATTTGTTGTTGTATTTTGTTAAATATTTTTTTTCTATTTTTATTATAAAATTATTATATTTATTTTACAATAGATAATATTTCTGTCAAATAGTCAGATCTTAAATCTATTCGTCTCATACTGAATACGTTGGTCAAAGAGAGATTTAAAAGGCTGTTAAAGCAGCTGTAGGTGAGTGAGGTATATTTGTGGGTTCAGTTTGAATCGCTGAAACCTCTAAGGGTTAAACAATACTCTGTTTCCCACATGCACAAGTGTCTTTCATTCCCAGCGACCACAGACCGACTGAATGGAGAAAACATCTGTATGTGCACATCGGCATGAGTGTGTGTGGTGGTTTTAAAGTGTGTGTGCGGTATAAAGTTGTAGATAATGAATGTGTTTGTTTAGATAGTTATGTGTGAACTTGTGTGCATGTGTGGTTGCATTAGTTGCAGCCAATAATCGAGCTGATTTTGTGTGCATGTTTGTGTGGTTTGGTGTTAACTTGTGTGTTTTGAAACAACATGAGGGTGAATAAATGATGACAAATTGTATTTTTTCGGGTGAACCATCCCTTTAAAAATCCGTAGTGACTGACCACCCATAATGCCCTAGCAACCATACAGCAACAGATTTTGTGACACAGATGACTGTTAAAGTGGCTAACGCTCGCTCAACGTCCGGCTGTCAGAGCTGTATCAATTTAAATGAATGCAAATGTTACACTTGCCATTCCTGAATCCATCATTGTGACTGCTCACTCAGGCTTGCCCTGGCTAACCTTCCCATAATGCCCCTCTCTGAAGCCAGACTGCAGGCAGATGTCCCTGTGTACACCTCAAGCACTACGATGTCATTACATTACAAAAAGCCCACTGTCAGCTGCACACACAATGCTCGTCTCGCTCATTTATCAATTAAATGATGTTGAGGACAAAGAAACCGTGCCCAATGTAGTTTAGTAGCCGTGCCGTAGCCCTGGTGTGTGTGTGTGTCAGCACTTGGGATTTGATGTTGAAACGTAGCCGAGGCGATAGGGAAGTCAAAAGAAAAGTCTTATTGAATCAGTGGCACTAAGGAAAAGCCTTCATGGGATCAGGGGTAACTTAGTTAGTGTGTGTGTGTGTGTGTGTGTGTGGGGTGCAAACAGGAATAATGGCAGCATTTGAATGAGTTCATGCTTGGCCAGACCTCAGTTAACTTCTGAACAGTGTACACTGATAATCTGGTTGGATGTGTGTGTGTGTGTGGGTTTACGTTGCTATACTTTAAGGGCAAATTTGTCCCCAGAAGTTTGCTATATATGACCAAACATTTTATTCATGTTTTTTATTAAATAATAATAATAAAAAATTCTAGGGTTAACCCTCAGAGACCCACTGCTGGAAAACTGCAAAACAAAGCAATTAATAAGTAATATCTATTTACGTGGGTCAAAACAGCAGCTCACAAAACATAATATATAAGCTTTACAACATTTTATTTGATAAATTTTTTATCATTAACTGTTTTGTTTTGCCTCTGAACGTTGTTCATTTTTGTTTTCAACTTATTTTTGAAGTTAAATTAGGAGTTAAAGAGTTAAATTATCTTATGTTTTTTGTTAAATCAACTATTTATTGATTTTTTTTTTAACTGTTTTGTTTTTGAAATTTGTCCCCAGATATTTGCTTTGAAGTTTGACAAAACATAATTCATATTTTTGTTTTGATTTAAATTTAAAATAATTAATATTTTAAAACTATAATTTTATCAATCAAGATTTACAACATTTTATTTTATTTTGTTTTATTTTATTTTTAACTGGTATTTGGTTTTCCTTTCACTAAACCTCACGCAACATTGAGAAACAACAGTAGTGTCTGCAGTGGCTGTGTTCTGTTAAGTGTGAGCTGCTGTTTTGACTAAATTTGAGTGAAAAATAGATAATACTTATTTGCTTTGTTGCCGTTTTCCAGCAGTGAGTCTCTGAGGGAACCAGAGCGTCCTTTACAAAAGCACAATGAGATTTAGAAGGCACTTTTACTTCTGTTCTGTCAGGGGCGGGGCATAAGAGTGAGTGACAGGTGGTGACTGCTGAATGAAGATGGTTCGAGAGGGCCCGTGGGTCAGCACTCAGTCTGTGGGTCAAAGACACATTCAAGCACTCAGTAAATGTGAGGTTAAAGAGGTGGAGATCAAACCGAGGGTGATTGACAGCGTGACAGATGCCTATCAGAGCTCGATGGACCGCCCTCACACCTGCTGTATGGACAGACACAAGACACTATCTATCTATCTATCTATCTATCTATCTATCTATCTATCTATCTATCTATCTGTCTATCTGTCTATCTGTCTATCTGTCTATCTGTCTATCTGTCTATCTGTCTGTCTGTCTGTCTGTCTGTCTAAATTAGAATATCAACTTAAAAGGTGAAACTAATATATTATATAGACTCATTACATGCAAAGTGAGATATTTCAAGCCTTTATTTGTTATCATTTTGATGATTATGGCTTACAGCTTATGAAAACCCCAAAGTCAAAATGATAATATTGTGAAAAGGTTTCTGTAAGCCATAATCATCAACATTATAACAAATAAAGGCTTGAAATATCTCACTTTGCATGTAATGAGTCTATATAATATATTAGTTTTACCTTTTCAGTTGAATTACTGAAATAAATGAACTTTTGCACGATATTCTAATTTTTCGAGTTTCACCTGTATCTATCATCGCTCTATCTATCTATCTATCTATCTATCTATCTATCTATCTATCTATCTATCTATCTATCTATCTATCTATCTATCTATCTATCTATCTATCTATCTATCTATCTATCTATCTATCTGGGGTGGTTAATCTGTCTGATTTCTCGATTCGATTACGATTATTGAAGTCCCGATTCGATTACAGTCGATTTTCGATTATTAACGATTCTCGATTAGCGATTATTGATTTTCCATTTCACAACAGTAAACGAAAAAACACTACAAAGTGATTGCAGTATTAAAAAAAGTCAGCTGCTGAATTACTTAACTCTTTTATTGAGTAACAACAACAACTCAAAGCACTTTCTGTGTTGTGTAGTTATAATTTCAGAATTATTTGTATATAGCTTATGTTCTGTAGAACACAGAAATGAATACATCACATTGTGTTGTGACTCATCAAGTTGAACGAAACAATAACAAATAAATGAAAGGCTTATTTCCTTAAGGAAGTAGATCAGAAACAACATACTGTAGAAATTGGACAATTTTCTTCTAGAAAGACAAGGTGTTGTTCAGGTGGAGGAAGACTGCAGGTTGCAGTCGAAACATGTCAAGGTAAATAAAAAGTTTATAATGCAAAATTTTTTTTGCATTATATGCGGTTAGAACAGCTGTCAGCAGCGCGTCCTCATCCATATCAAGCGCCTCGTCCCCTGAGGCGGCGGCAGCGCGGGCGGGAGCCGGCGGCTGCGAGTCCGGGAGAGGGGGCGGAGAAGGAGAGATAGACGCTCGAGGGAGTCATTCCGGCGAGCATTTGCATCAGAAAACGACGGCAGTGCAGCCCGCAGGGTCGACATCAGAAGTGCGTCGCTGAGCTCACAAACCCAGGCAGAGAGCGCAGATCACATGGCGGTCTCCGTCGCTGTGCGGGGCTCTGCACGCGCCGCAGGAAGTGCAAGGCATCTTGAAAAAGACGCTCGCTGCTCTTTTAGACAGTAAGTTTTGCAAGAAAGGATCCGTCGCCGGATAGCGTAGCTCGCACGGATGGCTGAAGGTGGCGAAGACGGCCGGCTTCTTCAGGCGAAGTCTTGTCGCTTCCTCGACGGCGGCGGCGGCTTCTCTCTAGATCCAGCGATGCGGCAATAATAATAACGCAATTTTTTTTTTTAAATAATAAAAAATCGATTTTTGAAAATTTAATAATCGATTCATAATCGTCCATAACATAATCGCGATTAATCAATAATCGATTTTTTTAACCACCCCTACTATCTATCTATCTATCTATCTATCTATCTATCTATCTATCTATCTATCTATCTATCTATCTATCTATCTATCTATCTATCTATCTATCTATCTATCGTTCTATCGTTCTATCTATCGTTCTATCGTTCTATCTATCGTTCTATCGTTTCGTTCTATCTATCTATCGTTCTTTCTAGGTTGTCATGGGTAACACTCCAACCATGGGCGTCACATTAGTGCAATGCAGTTTAAACAAATTAGACCTGCTGTTCATGTTTACTTAGTCAGCACACAAGGAAAGGATTGAGGAAAGTGTTTTTTCCCCTTTCTTTTCTTCTCTGATGTAATTATAAAAGGTGCTTTGTTCCGCCAACCAGAGACTGGAAGTTTGCTCCGGCTCGAGCCGTAATAGTCCTCAGAAATGGGGCAAATCTGTCTCTCCTCTGACTGTCTCTGCGGCACGAAGCTATGATTACAGCGGCATCGATCCCTGACCTACACGCTCTCATTACACACACTCTCCCAGTCTTCACACTGCTCTCACGACTCCCAGCAGCACCTGAGGTGGGCGGCCGCTCATACCTGTCAGCAATCGATTGCCAATAAGACAGAATTACAGGTTAACAACAGACCATCTCAGACATCGAATTTGGTATCTTGGTATCTTTTTTTTTTCAAACATTCATACTTTCCTCATAGTGATGTGCCACAGATGGGAATAAACACAGCATATAGCCGTGACAAACAGATGACGCGTGACTAAAAGAATGTGACCCCATTTCACATGACAGACCTCTCAGGGGTCAAAGGTCAAGAGGATTCGCCTTGCTGTCCTTCATCCTAAACCCAGATTTGAGAGTGGTTTTCTTGTTACTTTTATAACGCTAAGCGATTGCAGTTGAGTGGGAAGCTATCTGGGAGCTTGCCGTACAATTTGGGACTTTTTACTCGACCACTATGTTGATTTTTACGCCAATAACACGTTTGACAGAAGTATCTTTATTCAAACACAGCACATTATTAAGGATGGGGAATTTCCATCGTAAATATTTTTTTGATGAAATCCAGACTCTGGATTCCCCCATAATTCCCCTGAATACAATCTTTGGCCCTATATAGAAGCGCCAGATGTGAGTGCATAATTTCCTTATCTCTGTAATCGCTGCTAATTAAGATTATTTATGTGAGGCAAACAATGCTGTTATTAAAAATGTAACATGCTTTTATTTTTTTGTTATTTTTGGAAGCCAAGTTTGGTTATTTAATTTTTATATTATGTTATTTTTGGAAAGCAAACATTTCTTTTAATTGAAAAAAACAAAACAAAATATTTTACAGTAACTCCTGATTTTGCTTTTAATTTTTTAATCATACAGTTTTTTTTAAGGAAAACAACTATATTACTTAAAACATTGCACTTTTTTATTATTATTTATGGAAGGCAAACAGTTGAAATGAAAAGTCTTGACATAGCTTCAGGTTTGTTTGTCTAACCTTTAGTCTATCAATAGTTTAATATTTTCATACTCAAATTCTCTTGATTTTCAGCCCTATTACTCTTGTATTGTGGGATTGCCTCTTATTTATTCAGCTGAAAAGACATATATTCATAGCACATTCGTAATTTTGGACTTTTCCTGGAGGATGAAACCACTAGAAGGGTTGTTCCACTCCTGTGTCAGAATAGCCAATAATTAAAGGTTTTACCTTAAATCGCTGTGGTCTTTACAGATTTCCCACACATTCTTACTTCTGTTATTTCAATGGGCGTAAAACCGAAATTAACGCCTAAAATTAGTTTGCACAAGCGTTTCTTTTGACGATTAACCTTGAGGCTGGAGAAAATAGTGCCGAGCTCCACCAGGTTCTGCAGGTCTGAGAAGACTGATGGAGTTGAGAGCGACTCTTCATCTAGACGCTGCACAGATGTAACTCCTCTATAAGAATTTGTAAACATCTCGAAGGTCTGAGAGTCATCAGGGTGTAGTTAGTGGAGAACCTGCGTGTTGGAGGTCTTTTGGTGTATATAAATGAGTTACTCTAAGGTGGCATACACACACACACAGGAAGCAAACAAAACTCTTAAAATAAAATATCTACACCATCTGTCAGCATGTATGCCCACTTTTGCGCTCCAGCACAAAGGATACTTGCACATTTATCTAAACTTTCTAAGCTCTGAGGTAAAACAGGTCTCAAACGAGTCTGGGTTTCTGTCTAGGTCTCTTTTATTGGCCTTATCTGTCTCATATGCACATTGCCATTGAGATTCAGAGAAGCACAGTTCAATAGTTCAGTGATGCATTTGAAGATGGTCCGGTGAGTTGAAATATTAGCTCAGAAAGGAATATCAACGGTTTTCTTAATGAAGTAGCTTCTAAAGCAGACGCGTTTATAGCTGTTATAGCTTGCTTCTGGTTCCAGTACCTTATTAAAATGGCTGAGTCTGTGTTAATGACTGCCAGAACACACCAGCTTCACCTGAATCTGAGTTTCTGTGCTAGTCTGATCATACTGAAAGGCCTTTTTGATTATTTCTAGCAGACTGAAGATATGAGCCGTCTTTGCTGATGGAAGTGTCTGTGTTTGACCAGGGAAAATGGCAACTTTTTCCAGCTCTGTGCTTGAGTTTTTTTGTTCTCTTGTTCTTTTTTTGATGTTGATCTTTTTTCAGGGTCAGACTTGCTCTTTCTGTTGATTGTGGCTGTAAGTTCTCAGTTTTCTATTCTGTCACCACATGCAAGATTTTAGGTCTTTGACAGTCTTTAGGAAGCTACTTTAAAACTACTTTGACATGCTACAAGCCACTCATAAAAGTGTGTATGCTGTACATTCACTACCGTTCCAAAGTTGGTCGGTAAGTTGTAAAATATTATTACAATTTAAAATGTTTTCTTTTTGAATATATATATATATATATATATATTAGAAAGTTCAAAAGAACAGCATTTATTTTAAATCGTTTGTAACATTATAAATGTCTTTACTGTCACCCTTGATCAGTTTCTGATGCAGTTAATGCATCCTTTCTGAGAAAAAGTATTAATTTATAAAAAAAAATCTAATTTCACTGACCACAAACTTGTATTTAACTATTATAGACACACACACACACACACACACACACACACACACACACACACACACACACACACACACACACACACACACACACACACACACACACACACACACACACACACACACACACACAAAGAGACATAAATGAAGAGCTTGTAGTGCAGTTAATTGTGTTTTTAGGTTAGAATTTATATATATCATATACATGAATATGTGTATAAAGTATGTGTGCATGTATGTCTAGTATATTACCCAAAAAATTCAAGTAACTGCACTACAAGCTCTTAATTTTTGTAACTGCACTGCATGCACTTAACATTTGAATGAGGCAATACCTTTTTACTTCTGAAACAGAAGATACATGCTTTTACAAGTAGAGCAGTATTTATCTGGCACAAACTAACTCAATTTAACTATATAAATGAAGAACCGAAGGGAAAATCTAATTTATGTGAATCTGTGTAACTTTTTCTTTGGACATATATGCAAATATAGGCGAATGGCATGCAGTGTGAATGGTTAACCTCATATAGTACAAACTGTCATTCATTAGTGTGGGTGAAATTGCTCAAGACTGCTAACCCGTTGTTATGTAAATGTAGATGCTTGTATGCTAATGTGCTCATTAATGAAGTTACTGTTTCTGAATTAGTCTTTTTTGCAGCTTAGTGTATCTCTCATATATACGGTACGAGTGGAAGCTGTTTTCCTTGTAGTAGAAAACACTGTTTCCCACGATTTAGCTCTTTTCTTCAGCAGTAATGTTTAAGAATTTTGACCTTGCCAACGTTCAACACACATTGTACTTCAGATCCTTGAGATGTCACAGTGTCTCCGGCCTTATCACAGAAGGTCTTCGAGAACCTCTTCAGAATGGAGGCCAAGGACATTCTGTTGGATGGTCCTGATATAAAACTCCCTCACTGCATTTTTCCATAGAGTTTTATTTTGTTCCTTTAAAAGACAGAGCTGTTTTTGATGGATCTAGCATCCTGTTCCCGTAGCCGTTTCTGCTGAGTCTAGCGATGGCTCCAGCGTTTGGCTGTTGTCCCTGTTATGGAAACCAGACAAATGCGTGTGATGGGAGACGTTTCGCTGGACTGATGAGTGTGTGTACGGAAAGCTGCTCTGACTCACTCAAATGTCTTTCTGTTTGTGTTGCGTGAGACTGTATTGTTGTGCTTTCATGTGGTGAGTTTAGTGTGATTTTAATTGTGTTTATTTGATCCAATGTGTGTCTGAAAAGAACAGAAAACACTCTAATGTTCAACTAGTGTTTGATCTGTGCTTGTCTGTCTGAACTAAATAAAACTGAATAATAGGAAACGAGACAAAAATGACTTATTTTATGTAGTTTGTTTAAAAAAACTAACGAATGAACGTACAAATAAGTAAATAAGAAAATAAGTACATGCATAACTAAATACACAGGTAAATATACATAAAATAACAAAAAAACTGAGACAAAATGGGAACTGGCTCAAAATGGTCATCTATTGCTTCACTTTTTATTAACTATACTAATGTATGCATACAAATTCATTTTTAAAATGGAGTCAAGATAAAATGAACCTGTATTATCTTCATTTCATGGTCATATCTCTGACTGTCTTTAACCATGACTTACCATGCTAGTACAATGAAAGTAGCCTACATAAAAACTACCAAAAAAACAAACACATTTTCATTACTTGAAATAAATAAACATTAACTGAAATAAATAAATATTTAACATATTTTATTTCAGCTAGTTGCCAAGGCAATAGTTTTATATAAAGTTGAAATAAGTAACTAAAAATACTAAAACTTAATAAAAATCTTTATTCTATATAATAAAAATGACAAAATTGCTAAGACTTTAACTAAAATAAAATATAAAAATAAAATCGAATTCAAAATATGAACAAAACTATACTATAAAGATAATCTCAATGATACTATCCTGTACCATGGTATCGCCACAGTACTTTTTTAAGGTCTAGGTCATTGTTTTACAATGAACCTAGATTTGCAAATGCAGTTCTATTTTAGATTTCTAACAATATTCTTTGTCTTTTCCCATCAGCCACCCCTCTGTCCGTGCGAAGCAGCAGTGACCCCGCCCTCGCCCCGCACCTGGATGTCATTTCATTGGACCGCGAGGACATCAGCAGACCCCAGTCAACCGTGAGTGAACACACATCACCTACTCATGTCCGATAGGAGTGTCTGGGAAAGCGTCAACTTGAAAATCAAGGCCAAATTTGTATTGTGCTTCTGGAGGACGCAATGCAAGACTACTTTTCTTTTTGTAGTGCTGGTGGTCTTATGTATTTAACCTGTCCTTGTTTGCAGGAATTTCAATGTCACAGTCAACATTCATGGTCGTATTTGTGCTTAAGTTTGATCCTTTTAGCTCCGCAACCATTGTTATCTTACTCTCTTCCAATATTGTTTTCATCAGCAAAGCTTTTACTCTCTCTATACATCTCTCTTTCATTCCCTTCCTTTGAGGTAATCTATTAACCAGCTCTTTTTGCTCTCACATTTATAGCAGTATTTGCTTTTCAAATTCTAGCAGACAAACAGCACACACTTTTTTTTTCTGAAAGAAATGAATAATTCAAAATACTTCAGAAATTCAAGTGACATTTATTATGTTACAAATGATTTTATCTCAAATAAATTCGGTTCTTTTGAACATTCTATGCATCAAAGAATCGTGAAAATAAAATATCATGGTTTGCAAAAAATTGATGATAATAATAATAAATGTTTCTTGAGCAGAAAATCTGCATATTATAATGATTTCTGAAGGATCATGTGACTCTGAAGACTGGAGTAATGATACGTTGCCATCACAGGAATAAATTACATTTTAAAATATAAAACAGTTATTTTAAATTGTAATAATATTTCACAATATTACTATTTTACTGTATTTTTTTATAAAATAAAGGCAGCCTTGGTGAGCATAGTTAATTATTATTAATTTGTTTTTAAACTTCCACAAACTTTTGAGCAGTAGTGTAAGTTTCAGAATGAGTGAACCGCGTTTAGGATTTTGCTGTATGTACTCTCAGTGCTTCAGACTCACACGGAAAACTAACGCAGTGTATTTTAATTCTGAGTGTGACATTTCCTAAATTGTACCACTTTCAGTCTCTTGGGAAACTGCTGAGTGTATCAGGACTACATACATAAAACTGTCTCTAAAATATTAGCATCAAACGGGAAAAGTAAGTGTGCGGCTATTGTTAGGGATTCATAAGGTCTGCAAAATTACAGCTCACGCAGACACTCGCACACATCCGTCCCAGATTGCTCGGAGTGACAGTAATCATTGCAGTGCACTCCTCAATGACAGGGTGAGGGCACACTAATGCATCAACCACAGCACTTTTGAGACAGAGAGGATTCATAAATATGTGTGTATATCTGCTTCTGTCAGTGCCACCGTTGCAGATTCCACTTCCTCCTGGAGAACTTCTTCAGCACTCTAAAGAGTCTTGGTGACTTTAGTTCCAGATTCCAATAAGGCTCCATTCACAATGTGATTCATATACATGTAGCGTGTTCCTGGATCAACGTTCCTATCAGCTCCTGCAGTCAGATTCAGAGCCATCTTAACCCAATGATAGGAATGATTTTTCTTGTGATTGACCAAAAACTCTTGACTAGACCTGAAAAGTCTGAAAATGAAAATGTCAAATTTGCCTTTGTTTGAAATAACTGTTATAATATCTTTGTTTTCCTGTGTCATTCACTTTAATTTCAATTTAGCTGCACAAAACATCTCGCTTTATATTGCAAACTACTAGTATTTCTTATTATTTTAATTTATTGTCGCAATTATAAACACGCTGGTTTGTAGCGCAAATAGTTTTCCCGTAGCCTAGAAATCTAGACGCACCCTATAGCGGCAGCAAAAATTATTTTGCAGCAAAGTGTGGTCTAGCAACTCTCCATAGAGTATTGAGCTGGAAAAACCAAAAACTGGTCCGGCCAATCAGATCGTGTAGAGTTGGTGGGCGGGCTTAACATAATGACGGCAGAGTTATGACGGTTCCGGGTGATTTCCATAGGTGATTTCCCTCTGCTTGAAAACAAAGAAGATGCTGCTGGCGAACAGCGGTCTTTCGAATCGGCTTTGCCCGCGACTCTGGATGACTTGGAGTTAAGAGAACGCCACTTAAGTCATTCCTAAAACAGGAAGATGTGTTCAGAGTTTTGACGACCGGATACGGCAAAAGTTTAATATACCAACTACAACTAGCTGGTTCACTGGTGGAAAAACCAAGGGGGTAATCCATCGACCGGAAGTTGAAGCCGGCCGGGTGCCGCCATCTTGTAGCAGAACTTCACTTGCGTTAGCATTTGCATTGACTCCCATTCATTTTGGCGTCACTTTGACAGCGAATAACTTTACATCTGAGGCGTTTAAAGACCATTTGTCCATTATTTATTTCTAAAGAAACACGACAATGTATAAAGTGCTCCATTACCTTCTATGTTACATTATGGCCCCGTAGAAACAGTTTTTGTAAAAATAGGCTAACGATTGCGTCATAACCACTCGACTCTCTGTCGCGCTGTACAGAAATTACCGTACAGACAGGAGGAGAAGCTCGCAGGCAATCGGGAGGACGTCCCGTCAAGGGAGAAGCCCATAGATAATGAGTCCATAAAAGCAACGGAATACTTACTCCTGCTCACTCACGCCAAAGAACTCTTTGCTCAAGTTCCCCGTCTCTGCAAGATTAACGTTGGCAATTTTCACGCACAGCTACTAGAAGATTTACGTCTGTCAGACAGGTTGCGCTCGTCATCAAGCTTAGTTTGAGTCGGTTTGAGTCTGTGCGTCAGGAACGGAAGTGCTCAAAAATTGCTAAAAATGGGCTTCAACTGTCTCAACTGAGTTCCAATGAGATGGCTCTGTCCATTTCTTATACTGTCTATGGGAAAAACGCATGGGACTCACTCAGCCACAGCCGTTCGTTGCTCTGGTTGGTTGTAGCGCTATCCTATTGCGTGCCGAGGGATATTGAAAGACAACCGTTTATCCCGCCCCTCGGATTGAGGTATGCCAATTGTGAGTTCCCAGACCTAACATCTTGATGTAGGTCTGGCTTGCCAGGCTAGTTTTACCATTCACTGCACTTTCTTCTTGTTATTTCCCTGTAGACTAGAGGCTAATGAATCAGATGTATCACATATTCACAAAAAAACCTTGCGTCCGCATTGCAAAATAAGGTGGATAGATCATAGATGCATGCGTCAGTTTCAAACTGTATCTTAAAATGCACACTACCGTTCACAATTTTGGGGTCCGTAAGATTTATTTGATCAATAATACTGTCAAACCGTAATATTGTGAAATATTATTACAATTTAAAACAACTGCTTTCTATTTGGATATATTTAAAAATGAAAACATTTTGCAATAGTGTACTTATTTGATCATTCATTTACTTATTTACTTAGTTTTATGGTGGGAAATGAGCATCGTTTTTGATCATTTTGCGAGCAAAGTTGGAATTGGCGATGAAGAAAAATCTCACGTTGCATAGAAATGTTTCACCTAATGGACGAGCCCGTGGATATCACACGCGCAATTTGCAAACTTTATGTTATGTCGGTGAAGGAGTCTCAAACTACAGTCAGTTACTCCCTAAAAAGTGAAAACTAAAACTGACAAACTTTTGGCATCTGATGCTGCACTCCGCATTCATTCTCTCAGACATGAGATCAATCTATCTCATGCTGATAACGTTAAAACATCTTCATCTATCTTCATTTATTGGCTTAATATTTCTCTTGTGGACCATACATTAATAATATTGAATTTAGGTGTATAATATTGCTTTTAATTTTCATTGATGACTGATTGTTGTGCTGTGTTCGGACCTAAAGACTATAATTTTATTAATAATATAAATTTAATTATTAATAATTTGTAATTGTAGTGTTATTAGTGTCTATAATGTTAAATCAAATTTGTGTTAATGTGTTATGGAAACAAAACAATAACATTTTCGCCTTGGCTTAAACAACAACTGTATAAGAATGATGCATCTCTTTTATTACAAGCACTCTTGACAATTTGTGAATGGATCACCTTGCAATTCAATTTTGATGTGGGATGTTGTTTTGTTGTCTGTTTTAAAAACGGCATTTCTCTAAAATCAGGGCACAATGCTTGGTAATTAGGAGTGTTATTCCAGATCCTATCCCTGAAATCTAAGGGAAATCTCCATGGGTTTATAGCAGTGTTGTTCCAGGCTCAATGTTGTTGATTCAGGAGCATGTTGTGCTCGTGTAAAATCAAACCAAACAGAGTAGAACATGTTCCTGGAAGAGCATCTGTTCTTAACCAGACCAGATCAGATTTTAGGATTATGTTTTGAATCTTGAGTAATACCCTTATGAACCTTATTTATTTTAGGAGTAAGGTCCTAACCTTAATGATTGCTGAATAGGAATGTTGTTCCTAGACCATCTGATCCAGGAACATAATGTCCTACTTGTGTAAATCACGTTCCTGAAGTACACACTGCAGTTTCTGAACTAATGGAAGTCCTTTTTGAAAAGTCCCTGGAGGAACTCTGAGCTCCATGTTCACTTTACAGCAGAGACGGGGAACCCTGAAGCTCTCCCAGACCCTTATCCGTCCCAGGAGCTCAAGCTCACAGCCGGGGTCACCTCCACTGAAGCATGGCACACCTTTAAATGATTTGAGGAGTTAGTCTGTGCTGGGCTGTGCTCTGCGCACATCTCTGCTGTGTGTACAGGAGAACCAAGTAATTATGAGACGGGGCGGGGATTCTCTGCTTGGTTTTGTCAGTCATGTTTTAGACTGAAGACAAGATGATTATCAGATGTGTTGAGGAGGTTGAACACACATAAACATGAACATGAGATGTGTAATTATGGCCAGCGCTCTCATAAACACCTGGGACCTTTAATTGATTTTCATACAATGCTGTGATCTGGGGACACTCTGAAGAATCTGCCCCTTCATTCAAGTCTGGCTACTTGTTTTCTTTATCTTTTCATTTAGTTTTTGTTCTGTTATTCATTTATTTGTTGGTTGGTTTGTTCTTTTGCTTGTTTGTTTCTTTCTTCCTCTCATTGTTATTTTTTTTGTTAATTCATTTATTCATTCATTTGATTAATTGGTTGGTTCATTCTTGGTTTTATTTTTTGTTTGTTTGCCGTTTGTTTGGTCCTTCCTTCCTTCCTTCCTTCCTTCCTTCCTTCCTTCCTTCCTTCCTTCCTTCCTTCCTTCCTTCCTTCCTTCCTTCCTTCCTTCCTTCCTTCCTTCCTTCCTTCCTTCCGTCCGTCCTTCCTTCCTTCCTTCCGTCCGTCCGTCCGTCCGTCCTTCCTTCCTTCCTTCCTTCCTTCCTTCCTTCCTTCCTTCCTTCCTTCCTTCCTTCCTTCCGTCCTTCCTTCCTTCCTTCCTTCCTTCCTTCCTTCCTTCCTTCCTTCCTTCCTTCCTTCCTTCCTTCCTTCCTTCCTTCCTTCCTTCCTTCCTTCCTTCCTTCCTTCCTTCCTTCCCTTGTTCCTTCCTTCCTTTGTTCCTTCCTTCCTTCTGTCTGTCCTTCCATCTGTCTGTCCTTCCTTCCTTCCTTCCTTCCTTCCTTCCTTCCTTCCTTCCTTCCTTCCTTCCTTCCTTCCTTCCTTCCTTCCTTCCTTCCGTCCTTCCTTCCTTCCTTCCTTCCTTCCTTCCTTCCTTCCTTCCTTCCCTTGTTCCTTCCTTCCTTTGTTCCTTCCTTCCTTCTGTCTGTCCTTCCATCTGTCTGTCCTTCCTTCCTTCCTTCCTTCCTTCCTTCCTTCCTTCCTTCCTTCCTTCCTTCCTTCCTTCCTTCCTTCCTTCCTTCCTTCTGTCCTTCCTTCCTTCCTTCCTTCCTTCCGTCTGTACTTCCGTCCTTCCTTCCTTCCTTCCCTTGTTCCTTCCTTCCTTTGTTCCTTCCTTCCTTCTGTCTGTCCTTCCATCTGTCTGTCCCTCCTTCCTTCCTTCCGTCTGTCCATCCTTCCTTCCTTCCTTCCTTCCGTCTGTCCTTCCTTCCTTCCTTCTTTCCTTCCTTCATTCCTTCCTTCCGTCTGTCCTTCCGTCTGTCCTTCCGTCTGTCCTTCCTTCCTTCCTTCCTTCCTTCCTTCCTTCCTTCCTTCCTTCCTTCCTTCCTTCCTTCCTTCCTTCCTTCCGTTTGTCCTTCCGTTTGTCCTTCCTTCCTTCCGTCTGTCCTTCCTTCCTTCCTTCCTTCCTTCCTTCCTTCCTTCCTTCCTTCTGTCTGTCCTTCCATCTGTCTGTCCTTCCTTCCTTCCTTCCTTCTGTCTGTCCTTCCATCTGTCTGTCCTTCCTTCCTTCCTTCCGTCTGTCCATCCTTCCTTCCTTCCTTCCGTCTGTCCTTCCTTCATTCCTTCCTTCCGTCTGTCCTTCCATCTGTCCTTCCTTCCTTCCTTCCTTCCTTCCTTCCTTCCGTTTGTCCTTCCGTTTGTCCTTCCTTCCGTCTGTCCTTCCTTCCTTCCTTCCTTCCTTCCTTCCTTCCTTCCTTCCTTCCTTCCTTCCTTCCTTCCTTCCTTCCTTCCTTCCTTCCTTCCTTCCTTCTGTCTGTCCTTCCATCTGTCCTTCCTTCCTTCCTTCCTTCTGTCTGTCCTTCCATCTGTCTGTCCTTCCTTCCTTCCTTCCGTCTGTCCATCCTTCCTTCCTTCCTTCCGTCTGTCCTTCCTTCATTCCTTCCTTCCGTCTGTCCTTCCATCTGTCTGTCCTTCCTTCCTTCCTTCCTTCTGTCTGTCCTTCCATCTGTCTGTCCGTCCTTCCTTCCTTCCTTCCTTCCGTCTGTCCATCCTTCCTTCCTTCCTTCTTTCCTTCCTTTATTCCTTCCTTCCGTCTGTCCTTCCTTCCTTCCTTCCGTTTGTCCTTCCGTTTGTCCTTCCTTCCTTCCGTCTGTCCTTCCTTCCTTCCTTCCTTCCTTCCTTCCTTCCTTCCTTCCTTCCTTCCTTCCTTCCTTCCTTCCTTCCTTCCTTCCTTCCTTCCTTCCTACTTTGGTCATTCATTTGCTTTGTTTTTGGTTTGTTTATTTCTTTTAGATGGTTGACTCGAATACCATGGTATTTGGTATGGTACACCAAGGTACTTTAAAAAATACCATGGTATTAATAAAGGCATGGTATTCATTTATTGGTTTGTGTTAGTCTCATTGTATATAAATGTCTTATGTTAGCACTTATGCTAAGTTATTATGTAGAGCAGATTGATGATCAGGCTTTGCTGTTGTAATATCTCAGTCAGCTCTAGATGGATGGATGGATGAGATGAGGTCGTAGAGAACACATTTGTGATGCAGATCCCCACACAATCTCTTACAAACTTTCTCATTAGGCTTTGACATTTATTCAATTACTGTATTCCCAAGAGTTTACCCAGTACCCACTGCTCATAAGTCTCATGTAAACACAAACAGACTGCGCACCCCGAGAGCCAAGGACACACATATTTAATATAGACTCTGCTTCCTCGGCTGATGGTTCTGACCATGAATGTTTTACTGTGTTTACTTCAAGCCTATTTAGGTCGTAAACATATCAGCAGAATCCACACATTACAGTCAGTTTTTTTCCTTGTTGTTCTATTTAGTTTCCACAAAGACCCCCAAAACTGCATTGTCAGGAATATATATATATATATGTCTTTTCTTTTTCTTTTTAAAAATAATCTGAACAGTTCTGAGACTTATTCAAAGTCCATTTAAGGCAAATATTTTCACCTGGCTGCCATGTTTGAAACACCTCTCGTGTTTTTTTTACCAATCTGACTGTTTCATAAATTTGGCTTATATATATATATATATATATATATATACATTTTCAGAGATTTTCAAGTGTTTGCCTATGCACACTGTTAGCCTTTTGTATCTACTATCAGCTTTGTATAATCAAGATTATATTATACTTTTTTTGTGTGTAAAAAATGCATCTATTGATGTTTATAAAGTTTGAGGCTGCATAATCAGTTGCTACTACAGTTGCTAATACAGATCACCTGATAATTAAAAAAACGAATATTTCCCAGCTAATCAGTTACCAGAACCAATTTTTTTGCTGTTACAACCACTGATACTAGTTGATGATAACTATAACTGATATTTTGTTTTAAATGTAATCATCCAATACAATAACCAGTCACATGAGCCTTCAAAAAAAGGCTCTTTTTTTTTTTACTATCGCCAATGTTCAAAACGTCACTATAGTCATTTTTTAAAATGTTTCTGCTTTCCCATTTCAGAAAGGTTATGTCAACCAACCGTCTCTCCATTAAACTCTCTATATCTCTGTTGCCGTCCTCATGTGAACAGTGTGCACTCAATAAAGATGGGAGATGCACATTCACAATAGCCCCACTGCTTGTGCTGCCCCTGTGGCCCTCAGGAGCATGTGGCCTAGCGGGGGGATAATCGCTCTCTCCTCAGATAATCTAGGTCACTTTTTGTGTGTTTGATGCATCCTGTGAGGAGGGGGGTCCCGTGTGTGTGTGTGTGTGTGTGCCTTGAGTGGAGTACAGGGTGCGTTCTGGACCACCATTAGCTACGGCTCCACAGTGAGGAAAGTGGACACTCCCTTTAATGGTGCATCATTTTGTTTTTCCTCGTCTTTGTGTATGTTTTCTATTCATTTGCATTTTCTCTGTTTTGATCACTGACCCCAGATGAGATATTAATCGCATAAAAAAAAAAAAGTGAAAGGAAAACAGTGGATGAGATCAGACCGACAGAGATAGACGGAAAGGACGCAATTGGGGTTTTTCAATGGCAAACCTTTTATTCACTTTGGCATCCTGCTCAGGAGGGAACATTGAAGCTTGGTGTTGTTGTTTTGGATCCTCTAGAGAAACAAGTCACCATAAGTGTGTTTTTGTGTTGACAGGGCGTCGGTCATGCAACGACTGTGAAGGGAGGAGCCATGGACAAACCCAAGGTGGACGTCCCAAACTTTAGGACTGGACAAGTCAGCTTAAGGTGAGGGACTTTATGTATGCTTGTACTGTATATAGTGTATGATTGTGTTTCTACATTCATAAGTGAGGGTTGAAATCATATTTATTCAGTGATTAGTATGAGCCCTCTGCCCGGAGATTAATTTGGGTCTTTGTTTTGGGAAAGTTCTTTGTTGTCAGATTAAGGTTGTTTCAGTGTGTGGTTTTGTGGCCCTAATGTGTTTTGGACATGATGTCTTTGCTTACTGTTGCCACATTATTATATATTTAATTATTTTATTCATAAATAATAATAATAATAATAATAATAAAAATAAATAAATACATAAATACATAAATAAATGTAATATATATATATATATATATATATATATATATATTAGTGCTGGGCCGTTATCAGCGTTAACGTGCTGCGTTAACGTGAGACTCTTATCGGGCGATAAAAAAAATATCGCCGTTAATCAAAGTTGGGTTGGGATCATAAATAGCTTTTTCGAATATCGTTATATTTTCGCGCAATTCTAATGTGTAGTAGACGCCGCGCCTACTGTCACAGATCGCGCAGTAGGGTATTTTCCTGTCAGGGACACAAGGTGTACTTTTACTTTGTTACGTTGGGCGACGTTCCTCTCGTTACTTTATTTTAATGCAATACGTTGTTAAATGAGTTTATTCCAAGCGCGCTGTGTCCTTTGTATGGGCATGAGCGATGCTCATTTACAAGTGAATCACTCTTTTGAGTCGATTCTGTTCAAAGACTTCATCAAACAAGTTGTCAGATGATCTGTCTAAATCGGTTCGCGAATCAGTTGATCTGTTCAGTTCCTCGCGCACTGAATCGTCTGAAGCGCTTTCAATTCACACTCGGAGTCGAAACAGGAAGATTTAAGAGCATCAAGAGCGTTGGATGAAGTGGCCGATCTACAGTCTAGTCTAGTGAATGCAAAACTGCAAATGCATCATACTTTTGCCAGCGATGAAGATCTTTATTAGTTGAACATCTTCGTAAGCTGTCTGTGAATGAATGATTCCACAGGACGATACATTCGATTTCATTTCATTCAGGTAATACATTGTGTGTGTATTGCGCGTGTATTGCGCAGTGGCACAATCACACGAATAGTTTACATTGATTGAAACTAATTTGTTTAAAAATGAGGCTATTGCAGTAACAAGGCAGGTTCACATAAAATTCTTATGACATATGATGACATTATTTTTTGATCTAACGAGCATTGGCGATGCAAAAACGGACTGTCGTGCGTATTGTTTTTTTTCTTCTTCCAATTAGCCTACTATGTTAAAAAAAAGGACGAAAACATGTTACTTGTTCAATTAATAAACAGTTTGTTTGATGACAAATCGCTAAAGATGAAATTGGCCTCCCTTTCTGTCATTGCGTTTTTTTTTTTTTTTTTTTTTACGATATTCGACTTTTGCTCCTCGATTGTCGAATGGCATTTTTGGCAGAAATGCACATCCCTACGCGAGGCAAACTATTCTCAAAGACTTACTTTTAGTCATTATTTGGGTAGCACACATATTCTGAATGCCTTCGAGAGAATTCAAATGAGCCATTTTAATCTAGATTAATCTAGATTAATTTCAATATTAATCTAGATTAATCTAGATTAAAAAAATTAATCTATGCCCACCTCTAATATATATATATATATATATATATATATATATATATGTATATCGGTGACATTAATTTGGATCTATTTATTTAAATACATTTTATTTATACATTTGTTTATAAATATTTATATTTATTTAAATATTTAAACAGTCACATATTTTTTTATAAAATGATTTACATTTCATTTGTGCGTTTTTTTATTATAAATATCTATATTATAGCTATAATATCTATAAATATATACTGTTTAATTACATTTTTTATATAATTACTTTATGCATTTTATATACATATGTATTTAAATAAATAATACAAAGTAGTTACCTGTTGTTTTATTTTGGACACATTTATTTAAATATATTTATTTATTAATATTTATGTTTATTTGAATGCATAAATATATGCTTATTATATATAAGTATTAGTAATCAACTTTAACAGATTTTAACACTGTGATCGACTAATACGATTTATTTCTAAATGCACACAATATTATTGTTATATTTATTTTTAAAAGAGCCTTGTTTAAGCCTAGTAAAGCACACAAGCATTGAGCCGTACACTGTAATATGTCAGACAAATTCTGTTTCAAGTCAGATTTCATCTCATGTGCTTATTCTTTTTTTAAACAACCTGTTTAATGCTTATCTAGAAGCAGCTTTTCTTATTGAAATCCTTATCAAGCGGAAATAATGCAAACGGCATAACAGATCTTAGTGTGAAAGGTCGACTCTGAGCGTTGCGATTTCGGTAGATTCACTTCAGTGCGTACGGCAGGATACAGATTCACTATTTCGTAGTAGCACTAGAGCTTATGTGTGTATATCGTCATTAATATGTACACTTGTTGCCATAGTCACAGAATAGGAGACTTGCATCACGTTTTCTCCAGTCGTGCCTCTTATCACAGGTCATGTGACCTCATCTCTTCTCCCTGAGAGAGGGATGAAGTTTATCTCTCGCCTCTCTTCAGTGCCTCTGTCAATCAGCATTACTGATACACACACACACACACACACACACACTTTTACAGCTCATTAAACATTGAAGCGGTTTACAGTACCGCATCACCTCAGCTGAAGCCCCTGAGGTCCATCTGGGATTCAATCAAGTTTTAATATGAGTGCTTATTTAAGTTCTCTGTATTCTGTGAGATAAAATCATTTCCCCTTCCTGCCTAATAGTTAATATTAAACTTTGAGGTTTTAGTCTTCATATTTTCGGCTGGACATGGACAGTTGCCGACCACAGCTAAACCACACAAGTTGGGTAGACGCACTGGGTAAAGCTGCATAAGATGCCATTTCATTTGACGCAAGTTAAAATGAGGATGTGAGGGACTAGTGTTGACCTTTCAGCCAACATATTTGGAAATGAGTCTTTCCACAAATGTCTAATGAACAGAAACTGTGGAAAATATTATGGAATAGTCTGTACTTTAGACACTTGATCACAGCCTCGTTTTCTTTTCTTTTTTTTGCATCAAATTAGGTAATTTATTAAGTTTTATTGTGTTTTACACATGATGTGGCCAAAACAACCACATAAATAACAGTGACAGAAAGTTCTAGTTTCTTTCTAGGTATACTTTGTATGGAAGCGTATTGCATTCACTTGAAGAAAAAAAATCTTCTCTGTTTTTCTGAATTAATGAGTTAATTATCTCAGAATTACGAGATAATTTTTCATGGAAAAAAGTGTTTGCTCTGTTTTTCTGAACTAACGAGTTAATTATCTCAGAATTACAAGATCATTTTTTATGGAAATTTTTTTTGCTCTGTTTTTCTGAATTAACGAGTTATTTATCTCAGAATTACAAGATACATTTTCATGGAAATTTTTTTTTGCTCTTTTTCTGAATTAACGAGTTAATTATCTCAGAATTACGAGATAATTTTTCATGGAAAAAAGTGTTTGCTCTGTTTTTCTGAATTAACGAGTTATTTATCTCAGAATTACAAGATACATTTTCATGGAAATTTTGTTTTGCTCTTTTTCTGAATTAACGAGTTAATTATCTCAGAATTACGAGAGAATTTTTCATGGAAAAAAAGTTTTTGCTCTGTTTTTCTGAGTTTTTGAGATAATCAAGTCATTAATTCAGAAAAACAGAGCAAAAAAATGTTTCCGTGAAAAACTATCTTGTAATTCTGAGATAATCAACTCGTTAATTCAGAAAAACAGAGCAAACACTTTTTTTCCATGAAAAATTATCTAGTAATTCTGAGATAATTAACTCATTCATTCAGAAAAACAGAGTAGATTTTTTTCTTCAAGTGAATGCAATACAGTACGGAAACTTTGAAACCCATCACTCAATGTAAGTTTATGGGATATTTTGTAAGTTTGTAATATAATTTTAAGTTTATTCAAATTTCAGGAAAAATAAAAAAGACAGTGACAAAGACAAGTATGGCAAGAGTTTCTGAGGCTGTGATTCAAATGTGAAATTGTTCTCATTTCTTTTTCATATAATATATGGAATTGTGGTATGAAAGTAAGTATTTCATAAAGTATTTTTCTCTTTTATCTTGAAATTGATCACAGGAATAGAGCAAATGTTTTCCCCTCTCTGACACTTTCTGTGTGTCTCGCTGTTGTGGTGTGTGAGCAGTAATAAGCTCTGTATCTGTTTGATGAGCTGCTGCCAGTCTCAGTTTTTATTCATGTAAATTCATGGATGCTCCGCGCCACACTGGGCACATGCAAATTGGCAGAGGAGGTTTTTATTTTGGGAATAATGCAAATGAATGGAGAGGAGGTTTTTATTTTTGTGGTAATGTACTCTGTAGATCAAGCTGTGTTGAAGAATGTTTCCTCAGTTGTTGGTTGAGTTTGTATCATCATTTAGCAGATGTGTCTGTAACTACATTATCAGTCACATGATCACATGGTATAAGTCACATGGTAGTTTATTCTGGCGCCCACTTAGACAAGAATGTTCCGTTTGACCAGTTTTTCACATGACTTTAGGGGCCAGTATATCTAAAATTTAGATAAAAATAAAGCAAAATCTTTGTTTAAGGATATCTGGTTCTGTGCAGAATTAATGTAATTAATTATTAGTTATATACAGAAAATTGGCATTCAATTAATCAAAAGTGACAGTAAAGACATTTCAAATGTTACAAAAGATTTCTGTTTCATATAAATGTTAAATATAATATGCTATATATTTATTCATATAAAATCCTTTAATATAAAATCATATAATATATACTATATTTATTCATATAAAATCCTTTAAACATTCTATTCATTTGAGAATCTTGAATTAACAATGCATCACAATTTTTACAAATATTTTAACTGTTTTCAACATTGATAATAATAAGAAATGTTTCTTGAGCACCAAATCAGCATATTATCCTGATTTCTGAAGGATCATGTAAGACTAACGTTTGCTGAAAAATTTGCATTGCCATCATATTAATGCCATCATATTAAAATATATTACAATAGAAACCAGTTGTTTTAAATTGTAATGATATTTCACAATATTAGTTTTTTCTGTATTTTTGATCAAATAAATGCAGCCAAAATTCAAAATCATTAAAAAACTCTTACTGACCCCAACTTTTGAACTGTAGTGTATATATACATATATTAATATGATAAAACATTTCAGTTAGTGAATAACTGTGATTGTCTTGCTTGCCTGAATCTTCCAGAAAAGCATTTTTTTTGACAAAGATGGAAGAGTTGACATCCTCCTCTCTCTCTCCCTCTGCTCTCTTATCCTCTCCTTTCCTCTGTTCTGTCTTTATTGTGATGAGAGATGCAGGTAGACACCTTTGCCTCCAGCTCTCATCTCAGACACACTGAATGGCAGTGACTCCGCTGGCTTTCGGCTCATTTGTTTGGTCATTAATGTCGTCCCGCAGGACATAAACAACAAATGGATTTGCTGCGTGTGTCGAGAGTACAAAGTAGATGGTGAATACTTTTGCTTTTTTGTTTGTGTGTGGGTTTGTGTAAATGCTCTGACTGCTGTAGGCCAGAAACGTTCTATACCGCGAGTACACAGATGCAGATGCTGGTCCAATGCATCGCAAATGTCCCTTTCATATACTCGGCGTGCTTTGTTGCATTACCGTGACACTACCAAACTTCAAGTGGAGGGGGTAAAAGTTTCCTTCAAATGCCTGTGCCATTAAAACTGATAAACCTGTTTTGTTTTGTTTAGATGTTATATGTGTATTTCCATATGGTCACATAAGTGGCTTTTGCACCGGACGAACGTTTTCATAGTTCTATAACTATTGGCGGAAGGTGTATTCACAACGCACGACCTGGGGATAAATGAACTCCTACTTCAGAGTAGGGTCTAACCCAGCACAATAGCATCCATCCATCCATCCATCCATCCATCCATCCATCCTTCCATCCTTCCATCCATCCATCCATCCATCCATCCATCCATCCATCCACCCACCCACCCACCCACCCACCCTTCCTTCCACCCACCCACCCACCCACCCTTCCTTCCACCCTTCCTTCCACCCATCCACCCACCCACCCACCCTTCCTTCCACCCACCCACCCTTCCTTCCACCCACCCTTCCACCCACCCTTCCACCCACCCTTCCACCCACCCTTCCACCCTTCCATCCACCCTTCCATCCATCCATCCATCCATCCATCCATCCATCCATCCATCCATCCATCCATCCATCCATCCATCCATCCATCCTTCCATCCTTCCATCCATCCATCCATCCATCCATCCATCCATCCATCCACCCACCCACCCACCCTTCCTTCCACCCACCCACCCACCCTTCCTTCCACCCTTCCACCCACCCTTCCTTCCACCCTTCCTTCCACCCTTCCTTCCACCCATCCACCCACCCACCCACCCTTCCTTCCACCCACCCACCCACCCTTCCTTCCACCCACCCTTCCTTCCACCCACCCTTCCACCCACCCTTCCACCCACCCTTCCACCCACCCTTCCACCCACCCTTCCACCCTTCCATCCACCCTTCCATCCACCCTTCCATCCACCCTTCCACCCTTCCATCCATCCATCCATCCATCCATCCATCCATCCATCCATCCATCCATCCATCCATCCATCCATCCATCCATCCATCCATCCATCCATCCATCCATCCATCCATCCATCCATCCATCCATCCATCCATCCATCCATCCACCCTTCCACCCACCCTTCCTTCCACCCACCCACCCACCCTTCCTTCCACCCACCCACCCACCCTTCCTTCCACCCTTCCTTCCACCCTTCCTTCCACCCATCCACCCACCCACCCACCCTTCCTTCCACCCACCCACCCTTCCTTCCACCCACCCTTCCACCCACCCTTCCACCCACCCTTCCACCCACCCTTCCACCCACCCTTCCATCCATCATCCATCATCCATCATCCATCCATCCATCCATCCATCCATCCATCCATCCATCCATCCATCCATCCATCCATCCATCCATCCATCCATCCATCCATCCATCCATCCATCCATCCATCCATCCATCCATCCATCCATCCATCCATCCATCCATCCATCCATCCATCCATCCATCCATCCATCCATCCATCCATCCTTCCTTCCTTCCTTCCTTCCTTCCTTCCTTCCTTCCTTCCTTCCTTCCTTCCTTCCTTCCTTCCTTCCTTCCTTCCTTCCTTCCTTCCTTCCTTCCTTCCTTCCTTCCTTCCTTCCTTCCTTCCTTCCTTCCTTCCTTCCTTCCTTCCTTCCTTCCTTCCTTCCTTCCTTCCTTCCTTCCTTCCTTCCTTCCTTCCTTCCTTCCTTCCTTCCTTCCTTCCTTCCTTCCTTCCTTCCTTCCTTCCTTCCTTCCTTCCTTCCTTCCTTCCTTCCTTCCTTCCTTCCTTCCTTCCTTCCTTCCTTCCTTCCTTCCTTCCTTCCTAGTATATGTGAAAATCTAGTGTATTAAATGTGTACAATGTAAGTGCACAGTCAGAGTCTGATTGAATGCTACAATGCGACACACTTTTCAAGAGCTCTCGACCTGAGGAAATGATGCAGGTGACGGGGGGAGCACTCCATTGATATCCAAGACAGTTCCTCCTACCCTAATGGTTTTTGGGCTTGTCATTTTGACGTGTGACTGTTGTTCTGCTAATGTAATTGCATTCCACTGAAAGTTTCCCCTTCCAAAATATATTTTTCAGTTTGTTGAAGTTGTTTTCTTTTTTCTGGCAAGAAACATTTAACCACTAACCTCTGGCACCATTGTGTTTTTTTTTTCTAACTATAGCAGTCTCACACGGACGGTGAAGATTTCTGGAGACCTCGGGCCTCTGGGAATCAAAGTCATATCATACTGCTCCTCACTGAGTGGAAGGTAAAACACACACACACACACACACACGTTGTGTTGTAAGGTTTTATGGGGACTTTCCATAGACATAAAATGATTTGTATACTGTACAAACTGCATATTCTATCCCCTTACACTACCCGTCACAGAAAACTTTCTGCATTTTTACATTTTCAAAACACATCATTGGTATGATTTATAAGCTGTTTTCCTCATGGGGACCAAACATTTTCCCCACAAGGACAAGGATTTCGGATATTGCCATCTTTGTGGGGACATTTTGTCCCCACATTGTAGGGTTTACCAGGACCACACACACACACACACACACACACACACACACACACACACACACACACACACACACACACACACACACACACACACACACACACACACACACACACACACACACACACACACACACACACACACACACACACACACACACACACACTCATGGTGTTTTACACACTTTCATGATAATGGACCACTATGAGGTGCACTGTTGTAGAAATTCTTCTGTTCAATCCTCAAGCATGGACTCTTAATCAAATAATGACCTAACTTAATCGACTATTGACTAGAAGAAATTGTTTAGTGTATGTGTTGTATCCTAGTGGTCGACTGGCATATGAATGCTTTTTATTTGTAAAATTTTGGTTAATAATAGGTTTCATTTATTTTAATTATTTAGTGAATCAAAAACATTGTGAGATGTAATGCATACAAAATTCTTAAATGTATTTCAAAGTCATGTAAAATTCATTGTGTATTGTATTACAAATACTATCTAGGACATGCGTGCATTACTTAATTTCAGTATTGTTAGTCAGCAGTTTCCCATTCATATTCACCCATAATCCCACACTCACACACTTTCAGGAAGTAGCTAGGTGAATAGCTCTTTCAGACTGCATGAACAGGTCAAAAGTTAAGTGCTCAGGGCAAGGACACACACGTGCTGCATGACAGGAAGTCCTCCCAGGGTGGACGGTGACATGTTTCCTGTTGTTGGGGCCTGTGCGCCCTGTTGAGCTCCGGATGGAAATAGACCCTCTCTCTGTAGGTGGTCAAACCTGTCCGATGACCTGGTGAACTACTCTCTGGGTTGTGTGAGTCTCAAAGGAAACCCTTAAGGAAGTAACAGCAAATGAAATCCTGTATTTACTTCATTTTCCCAGTAGTAACAGAATTGATCATTGAAATGGTTGTCTAGAGAAGTCTGTTCTTGAAATATTGCTAATATTGAGAGACAATTAAGAGAAAGTTCCTGGAATATGATTGATATTTTTCATTAAATAATAAAACAACAGTAAAAAAAATAAAAATAAAACATTGTTTCTGGTGTGTCACTCCAAATATTTACTCCATTTTACTCAATTTTTTCCCTGTGGTAAATAGCGGACATATGTCCAGGAAGATATTTTATTTTATTTTATTTTATTTTATTTTATTTTATTTTATTTTGAATTCTTTCCTTTTCTTTTCTTTTCTTTTCTTTTCTTTTCTTTTCTTTTCTTTTCTTTTCTTTTCTTTTCTTTTCTTTTCTTTTCTTTTCTTTTCTTTTCTTTTCTTTTCTTTTCTTTTCCCTTTTCCCACTGTAAGGCCCGCCCAATTGGCCCAACGACGGTGTCCGATAAGTGGGTGAAACACCATGCTTAATAAATGTCTCCAGATTTATTTATTGATTTATTTATTTGTTTGTTTGTATTGTATTGTTTTGTTTTGTTTTGTTGTATTGTATTATATTTTTTTTGTTTATTTTTTTGTGTTTTGTTTTGTTTTGGATGTAATGGAATGCTCTACTTATAAGAGCATTTGGGTAACTCAGGAAAGTACAGAGGTTCCATACGAGTCATTTTCAGTTCTAATTGAGATGCTTAAATAGAACTAATATCTTTTGTCTCAAATTATGCCCTTCTGTTTGTGCATGTGTCATCAGGACTCTGGGTCTGCATATCCGATCCATCGAGGAGAACAGCCGCTCTGAACGAGAGAGGATCTTTCAAGAGGATGAGTGCATTGTGCAGATCAATGACATCGAGTTAATAGACAAGTCCTTCGCTCAGTGAGTGCCTGACTCTTTCATCTTTCACACATTCATTGTTGTCATGTGGATTACTAATCATCCACCAGCTCTCTTTCTCTCTACTGCATCCCTTCTTCATTATCCATCTTTTGTGTTATTTTCACTTTCACGCAATTGTTCTCTGTCCTTCTCGCTCATATCTCTATCTATCTGTCTGTCTGTCTGTCTGTCTGTCTGTCTGTCTGTCTGTCTGTCTATCTGTCTATCTGTCTATCTGTCTATCTGTCTGTCTGTCTGATCTAGCAGAGTTTCAGTGCTATAACTTTAACTCAACAAAAGAAAATGGTCTTCTCTTGCCGCGAGTGTGGAATTGCCCTATTAAGTGGCATCAACGGTATTGGACAGTCTTCAAAAGGGTGACAGATTAAACGAAGTGCCACTATTAGAGGAAGAGTTTGAGTAATGGGTATGAGAGTTAAAGGTTTTGAAGTAGAAAAGAAGAAAGACTGCAGTCAAGCAAGTCAATTTTACTTCTCCTTTACTTTGTCCTGAACTGAACTCCGAAAAGTTTGCTCAACACATTTAATGCAACATGAATTGTGTCCTCACACATGAATTGTGCGATGATCACGATTTTAAATTGAGAGTGATTAAAATGTCTCCACGATATGCCTCTGAAGAAAGATCATAGTATCAACACATTGAATAATGCTGCATGTTTCAAGGCACTTCAGTAAGTCTTTTAGATATAAATGACTGTGTTTATGTAAACCGTACATGTATTTGACATTAAAATAAGATGCGAAAGAGAACTTAGTTCAGTATTTAATTGGACAGAAAATCTGATGAGAAGCGCAAGTGCAGATCCATATTGATCCATTAAGTTTTTTTTCTTCTCTTTCAATAACCTGTTTCACTTGGATGTAAGTCACAATAAGGAATAATTAATCTGTTGCTTGCTATTTTCACATAATCACACCAGTCTATAGTGACAGGGTAAATTCCAGGGAGATGGAAACATTGAGAAGTGATTCCCACTGAAAGTTCTTGAGCGAAAAGGCCCTTGAATGGTGCTAATTAAGGAGGCTGTTGAGTCTAGAGCTCTTCTGAATCTTTGAAAGACCGAAGGGATGTCTTTTATATTCATGTTATCTACAAATGTGCATTACAGAACAATAAGACAAGGTGTCGCTCTTGATGTTTCAGGTCTCAGGAGGTGTTTCGCCAAGCCATGTCCTCCTCGGCCGTACGCTTGGGGGTACTTCCTGTTGCCAACAAGCTTCGTTACGAAAAGAGCCTCATCGGTCAACTTTTCAACAGCACCGAACCAACCACTGTGGTCCCTAAAGTCAAGAGTCCTTTCTTGGTCCAAAATCTCCGTCCGAGTAATACAGCGACTCCGTCCCCAGAGCCCCCTGTCTCTCAGACCCCGCCCCTAAAGGAGGAGGAGCTTCGCCCTGCAAGACACTCCCCTGTTGAATCAAATCATCACAGAGATACGCCTTCTCCTCCCGTCAGCGCATCACCCATCCTCAAAGATCGTAGCGAGAGCCCTACCCCAAAAATGATCCCAGCCCTCGCCGCGCTGGTTAACATGACCAGCAAAAAGCCTGGGAAGAAAATGAAGATCGATTTGAAGAAAGGTAAGCTGGAAGTGAAATTAAAGGAGAACTCCGGTGAAAAATGAACCTTTGGTCTAATAAAACATTGGTACCTAGTCAACCGTTCTCTGAGATTTGTTTTCATGATAATCGAATGTAAAGAGTTTTTATCTCTAAAAACTGTTTAGCGTATAACGCTAGTAATGGGGGCATTTAATAAGTAAAAAGAAATCGCTAGTTAATACTAGTTAACAAGGCTCAAAATAGCCCCACACTAACACAGTAACATAATGAGAGTCTCTACATGCAAAATGAAGCATTGAGAACTTTGTAAGTGTACAGACCGCTTAATAAGAAGATAAAGATAAAGACAGTCCACTTCGTGTATACAGACAGGAGCCATCTTTGGAAAACAGACTCGACTAATCAAACCACGAACGACGTGCTAAGTGAGCTGAACTGTATGAAGTTCAGTGAACTTCTGAACTGTATGAATGGCGTTCGTGGTTTGATTAGTCGAGTCTGTTTTCCAAAGATGGCTCCTGTCTGTATACACGAAGTGGACTGTCTTTATCTTTATCTTCTTATTAAACGGTCTGTACACTTACAAAGTTCTCAATGCTTCGTTTTGCATGTAGAGACTCTCATTATGTTACTGTGTTCGTGTGGGGCTATTTTGAGCCTTGTTAGTGGTATAAACTAGCGATTTCTTTTTACTTACTAAATGCCCCCATTACTAGCGTTATACGCTAAACAGTTTTTAGAGATAAAACTCTTTACATTCGATTATCATGAAAACAAATCTCAGAGAACGGTTGACTAGGTACCAATGTTTTATTAGACCAAAGGTTCATTTTGCGCCGGAGTTCTTCTTTAATTCCCAGGTCAATGAATGATTACAGTCATTCTTTCTATATCATTGTTTTACTCAAAAATATGCTACATTGTGGAAGTAAAATGGCTTGTAAATGCCATTTCATGTTCATTTTAAGCTTAATGAATAGTCAGACTCCGCCCAGTTAACCAGAAGGTGCCGTCACGAGCCCTGTGATTTAACTATAGACTGTAAAAACGAATATGGACGTAGTGTCAGTGATCTTGGACGTAGTTCCAGTCATCTTGGAAGCGAGTCACCGTGCGTCACTCCCGGATAAACAAAAATGGTCAAAGAGGCGGATTAGCTGAGGTGACGTGACGGCTAACAGACAGCAGACAAACGGCTAGTGACAGCAGCGGAAATCCACCTGTCACTCAAGTGACCACGCCCTTAATTATGCAGAACTTTAAGGCTTAATAAAACTTGAACGGATGAGTTATAAAAAAATTCACCCACCTTACAGTTGTCATGAAGGGCAAAATTAACTATATAGACCAAAACCACTTTTTGCACCAGGCTGTAAACATATTTTTTTCTGTTGTAAAGTTGGGCAAATTAACATGGGGGTAAATGGGATTGACTCTCTTTTGCAGCCTGTCTCTAGTGGCCAGTCGATGAATTGCAGTTTAAGTCTCTTCCGTGTTGGTTTCAGGAGAGAGATCGTAAGGTTCCCGCTTGGATTTAACCCATGTCAAAACTGCTGCATAGCAACATCTGTACTTGCTCTTCTCCCTTTTTTCCTCACCTCTCTGTCTTTATCGCTTCTCTGATTGACAGGTGCTATTGTTTAAAACTTTAATGTCAGGTGCTCTTCTGGGACTTGAGATTTCATCATTTGCCATCTTTAGTATGCTGGATTGGCCGCTATCCTCAATGACATCTCTCCCTCGAGTGTGTTTGAGAGAGAGACGGAGCAATTCTCAGCTTCAGTAATCTCACGTGTCCCTTCAGACGAGAGACTCCAGGGAATCGCTATCTTAGCATGATTCTTTAAGCCTCATTTTTTCCTCTCATCTCTTATTGCGTTTCTGTGTGAATCTCATGAAACCTGTCAGTAACATGTCCAGGTCATATTTCACCCCAAAATCAAAGGAAAGAAAAATAGAAATGATTTTTATTCATTATTTTATTCACACATGCATTGTAACATTTAATGACAAATAAGCTCATTTGCAAATAAATATAATTCTCATTACCAATACAATATCAGTACAATAAAATAATAGTGTAAAAGATTGTTAAAATTTTTTTTAAAGATAAAGTGTATTTATATATCATGATACTATTTGGTAGTGTAATGCCTTTACAAATAAATCAATAAATAAATAAAAATAAATCATTGTATTACCATGTTTATACTAGTATTTTGTAGTATTTTTAAATGGTAAAATTATGTTATGAATATAAAAATAATTAAATATAATTATAAATGCAATAAATAAATAAATATGAATATAATATATATTAAAATATACATGCATTAGGTATAACAATGACTAAATAATAAGCTATGCAATGAACATTAAAATATATTTAATATGTATCCAGTAAATATAAAAATAACTAAATATTAATACTTATGCAATAAATAAATATGTGCTGTACATATAAAAAACAACCTAATAGTAATATTTATGCATTAAATACAAAAATATATTTTTTCGCCTGCTTTTGTGATTGATTTTGAAATGTGACCCTGCATGTTTTAGTGAGACTCACTCTTCCATCTTCTTTTTTCTGCTTCCCCTCTTCCAGTGCTTCCACTTCCTCTAATCATTTTTCAGGCCACACCCTTTATCGTTGTTTCTATTGTTCTTCTTTCACACCATTTTTCTCTCTCTCTCTCTCTCTCTCTCTCTCTCTCTCTCTCTCTCTCTCTCTCTCTCTCTCTCTCTCTCTCTCTCTCTCTCTCTCTCTCTCTCTCTCTCTCTCTCTCTCTCTCTCTCTCTCTCTCTCTCTCTCTCTCTCTCTCTCTCTCTCTCTCTCCTCATCCTGTATCCTGCTCTCTGCATCTCCTGTCTCCTGTAGATGTGTTCACGTGTGAAATTAAAGTGCAGAGCTGTCTAATCCCCGTAAGGAAACATTTATCAACGAGCAGGGTTGGAGACGGAGAGAAACCGACAGCTTAAACACAGGTTATCAATCCAGAGTTCTTGAAAGCCTTCATCAGCGTACCGTTGACCTTTTGACCTGATCTTGGATCGGATGAGCTTGAGACAGTTTTTGCCATTATTATCCACCACCTTGCTCTCTAGAACCCATATCAGTAGTCAATCATTTCTTAACCAGACTTCAGTGATACTAGTGACACTCCGATGATGTTGGCTTTTATTAGTTTATTATTTATAGAAACTGAAAATTAGTGCTATAACATCAGATAAAATACACTGGGGTCTCTTTCATGTCAGTCTTTAATTCAAAAATTCATATCGTCAAAATTTGAATTCAAGAATTTTGATCCTGACCAGCCTTTAAATCTTCACTGTTGGGCGGAAACCTTGTATCTCCAAAACACTACTTTTCAGGCAATGAAAAAAGAAAAAGTTGATATTGTGGCTTTATATATGGTCAGACACTAGCATGTGTCATTATTATATTATTAACATTTGACCAAAATCAAGATCAAATGGAGTTTTTTTTTTTTTTTTTAGCGAATTTCAGAGAATTTTGGACATGCGTGTCATACGTGCAAATGTAAACGGCATCATTAACTTACAGGTTATAAAGTTTATTTTCAGCTATGTTGGGCTCTCAGTTTATTCAGTCATTTGGCCAAAATCTCATGTTATTAAAGACGAAGTGCTACGCAAGGACTATTTAAGACAATATTGGCTATGACTCGATGACAAATACCAGACTAAGACACTCTTCTCCGCTCCTCAAATACATAAAATATTAACCTTTACATATACAGATTCGAGTAAAGAAAATGCTGTACTTATTCAAACAAACAGTTCTTTATTTACCCTTGCATTGCAAACAAGCAGAGACGGTCCAAACTGCATGCGGCACTTCATTGATGATAGAGGCGGGTGGAGTTATGAGGTTCGACCGACAGTTTGAGGATCCAATGGAGTTTTGAGATTTAGTCACAAGCTCTTTTTAATACTTTTCATTGGTTATATATTTGCAAAACCCACTGACAGATGTGGAGTTACTAATAGTAATGATTTATGAAAAAAAATTCCGCCCAACAGAGACGAAATCGAGCTTTCATTGGCAGTTTTGTTCGACGAGCCTTTAAATTGAAATTTTTCATTTGAAAATTCTAAGTTTCATTCTGACAGGCCTTTTCAGTTGAATTTTCATTGGAAGTTTTTTTCAAAAAGCCTTTCAATCGAAAAAAAAAAACGTTTTAACAAAAATGAAGAACTTTCAGAGCTACAAACCTTTTATTAAAAATTTGGAATATTCATTGCAATAAACAGTTTAAGTTTTAGTCTGTAAGTTAAAAGTTTGCAAGGGTATACATTCTTTTTTCTAGTCGAAAAACACTAAAAACAACCAATAAGATATAAGAGCTTTTGAATTATGTATTTCCAACTGGCATTCCAGATTCTCCTTCATATCTGTCAACATCCTTAGACTTTCATGCATAAACTAGTCAATCTCTTTGTCTTTGTCCAGTTTTGTGTCTTTTGAAGTTTGTGTTACAGTATTTAATAGTGTGTACAGTAAATGACCAGAACATCACATCTTTCATTTAAGTTTGCAAAATGTTCTCAGTGATCTTCCTTGCGGTGAATAGAGCCTTAGGATGTTAGCAAGTCTTTAGAACCGTGTGGAAGGGATATAAGTGGAACAATTATGTACTTTTTCGATTGTTGGCAGCTTTGAAGAACGTTATTTTATTTCATACAGCAGAGTAAAATATGTTCAGAAGTTAGTGTAGCTTTTGTTTTCCATACTGCTGAAACCGGTAAGAAGAGCATTTGTCTGGTTCACTGGGTCATTAAATAAATGCTTAATGTTTCTGGCCTTCTTCTCTCTCCAGGCACGGAGGGCCTCGGTTTCACCGTGGTAACCAGAGACTCGTCTCTTCATGGTCCAGGACCCATTATGGTCAAGAGCATTCTGCCTCGCGGAGCTGCCGTTAAAGACGGGCGGCTCAAGTCTGGAGACCGTATCCTGGAGGTATTACATGCTTTCTGCGTCAATGCAATCATGAGAGCGCAACCTGGCTAATGCAAAATCAGAGCTTATTTATAGAACATTAAATTTGGCTGTTCCTTCCCCGCCAGTCATGCATTTAAAAGGTATTGTTTTAAATGCAATCTAAATATATTGTTTCAGAATGCATAATGCATTTTTGACGTAATTAGGCCAATTGTCTGTCTTGTATTGCACCTGGCCAAGAGACACAATTAATACTGACATGTTTTCCATCTCGTCAAAGTGTAAATGGACATTTTGCTCTCTGTTTTGACAGTTACTGGAAATTGCTTTCTCTCTTTCTCTAGGTAAATGGAGTGGACATTACAGGACGCACACAAGAGGAACTGGTGGCTATGCTGCGGAGCACTAAACTGGGAGAGACCGTATCAATGATGGTTGGAAGACAAGAGGAGTTTTTGCCCAGAGAACTGGTAAGGCTGTAGTGCAACAGTCGAGTAGTAAAAACTCCAATCATTTTTTTTTTTTTCATAAGGAAATTGATTTTTACCAATGATTTATAAACTTTTAGACAGACCTACTGTGAGTTCCAAGGTTGTTAATCGATGGTATATGCTTTTATTGAAGCCATCCGTAAAATAATTGTTTAAATAGTGTTTAATAGCTGAATTTATGATGCAAATGCAGAGTTGCAGCAAGCAAACTGGCTAAATGAACTTGCAGGGAAAAGCTCACTCTTATGGAGCGCCACAAATGACGTCGCTATGCTGTCAAAATACAAAATATTTGTATAATTATTTGCATGCATATTTTGCAATAAACTTATATATATATATACAGTATAGTTTTAAGACTATGGATATAACCAACAACGTGCTTAATACATTTCTGATAACCCTAGCAGTCCCCTCCTTTATTTTGAATGTGTCGAATCAGGTTGTGACAGGAAGTTGTACACATGACACAGCAGTTTAACAGGAAGCCTTGGGCTGATGCTGGTCCATCTCTGCTCCCAGATGTAACACGCGGGGCGTGTTGATCGCTGACCCCTTTCAAAGCATCTTTATTTTCCTTCTAAACACCAGACCCCCGTTAGAATCCAAACAACGAGTAAAAGCGCACTTGTGGCGGCACTAGATCCCTCATCGCAGGAAGAAAGACCACATCCCTTCATTGTGTCTCTGTCTATCCTCAGTTCATTTACACTCTAGTGTCTGCTTATCAAAGGCTTCTGGTTTAGACGGGTCACTTGTGATATATGTGGGCTGCCAAGCAATTCATAATCGTTCTGACTGTAAATAATTTCTCTCATGCATTACTTCCTCAATTGAATGTCTGAGATTATTATTATTATTGTTTTTTTTTTTTTACTTCAGAATTAGTTTTTTTTACTGCGAAAATTAAAAAGTAATTCACGGTTAAATTATGGTTTTATTTATGGATTTAGCTTTGTACTTTGTTAAATTTTTGCTGTCCCAGATCTATTCAAGAAGAGCAGCTGTATGTCATTGACACTGACTATTATTGGACCATTAATTCTTGTTAGGGACAGAAATGCATCATAAAGCGCTGCTCTGCAGTATCTATTCACAGAGAAAAACCTTCTCCATTTTTCCACCCTATTCAAATTCAAAGTGGGTTAGCTGTGCCACTGCTTAGCCAGGGTAAATTATGGCAGAAATGCGACGGCAGGCAAAAGGAAAAATGACACACTCGGGAGAAATATTTTTCTCAGAGAATGGAAGAGTATAAAAAGATATAATGACAGTGTTGAGTAGATTTCACCATCTGCCTTTTTAGAGGATATGAGTGTGTGTGTCTGTGTGTGTATTTATATTTCATTCCAACCAATGAATGCATCCAAACCTGAAATACCCTCCACAAACACCCACCGTCATACAGTATTCGTCGGTTTCTTTAACCACCCACTGCAGGCACAAAATATACCATCTTAATTTGAATTAAAAAGGTAGATTTGGCTAATGGTCAGCCATTAGCAAAAATAAAGCATCTTTTATTACAGTCTGCTAGAATCCAGCAGATCTTTAGACAGGAAATGGGCGACACCATAAATGTCCATCCTGTTAGCAGCTAGATGTGTCTGTTTAGAGATGGAGCAGTCGGCGTGACCCGTATTTAGAGACCGTTGACAGAGTTAAAGCCTTGTTTTTATGAATAAACCTTTTGGGATCTAGTCACGGTGCTGATGTGTTGGTGACTGGATATCCTGGATGCAGGAGTGTGTCGCCGAAACGTCCGGCCCTGCTGGAAAATCCAGCTAAAATCATCTAATGGTGCCTAGCTTACCTGATTTATAACTGTAACAAGATGGTTTTTAGCCGGTCCAAGCTGGTGTAGAATCTAGATTGTTGATCGGCCAAGGTACTTGAAAGAATACCATAGTGCAAGCCCAAAAATTTGGTAATTTTTAGTAATGTTTTGTTAGTGTATGCACATCAAGGATGTGCCTGAAGCCTAAATTCGAATTCGGAAAGGCACGGAAAATGAGTAACGCATGGAGCCGCTAAAGGGACATGGTTAGGCTTGCTGTGGTGGTCGGTTACATTACAGTACATCAGATTTCATTTATCACATGAAGATACTAAGGAGAGATGACTGACTGGACGATGTCATAGGATTTGATGCGCAACAGATCCTGATCGTCATTAACAAATATCTTGTAAAATTCGAGGCCAGTACTGCCGCTCCCTATACATGGATTACGTGCGATTTCAGCCATTTCAAAGCATATTGATACTTAAAGCGGCTCCCTGATGATACCCGTAAATTATACACAATATAATTACCCAACTTGGTCCCTGGTTAGAGAATACAGGCTTCACTCCCGTTGTACGTTCCTTCAGACTGTATTCGATTGCTGTGCGAACGGGACATTTCGAGACTCACACCTGTAAGTTAATGCGATTGTCAATCCCAAAAACTGACAGTGTGAACGTGGCCTAAATTTGAGCATTGCATTAAAGTTCAGCTGACTGATATTGCCATCAGTTTGTCACGTGCTGTGAGATTAAATTAATGCAGTGGGTGGAATTAATGTCTTCAGCAGCAAATTAATTTCACCTGATAGCCAGTAGCAATACATCAGCCAAACATCAAATTAAATTGTAATGTAAAATATGTTTGTGCCCACAAGACATGGGCATGCACTGGAAATATTCATTTAAAAGAATGATAAAATGACTTTATTTAGTGATGTTTTTATGGCATTCCACTAGACAAATTACACTTGTATTCAAGATAAAATGATCTAAAATCAAGTCTTGATAGAAGTTGTATTATTTGAACCATGGTTTGTTGCATCTAATACCACCAATATTCCATGTTTTTCCGACAAGATATTTCTTGTAAAAGCTGAATATTAATTTTTTTAACCAATTTACAACCGCAATGTCAACTGTATAGGTGTTTGAAGGGTCTGTAGAGTTTAAGCTGTGGGTGTTGCTGTAGACCCTTTGATTCAGACAGGGTTTCTGTGAGGATGGAGGGGTCAGACAGCACATTGCACACAGTTGTACTCAGAGGAAGAGAGGTCGGGCACAGGGCTGGTGGAGCATGTTGAAGTCCTTGAGATGGTCTTTGTAATAATTCCTCTTCCCACACACAGGATGTGTTCTGCTTTGTCATGGCCTATTTAATTATATTTGTTATTTGGGTCACGGCCATTTCTTTCCAAAAACCAATGGACGCTTTTTAAAGCTGCGAGTAAGATAAAAAGTGTAGATGCTTCCATGTAATAGCAGATGGCGTTCTGACATCAATTCTAATTTAGTTCAATATCTGGGTTAAGGTGCATTGACTTCTAGCCAGGGGCATCAAAACACATTTCCCGTGGATTATTTTTGTGTAAATGACACAAAGACTCAAATCAAATCTATTTTGTCAAATGTTGTGGCTCAGGATATCTTGGTTATGTTTTATCGTTAAGTATAAATTTTGATGTTTTTCTGATGTTTTTCTGAACATCTCTGATGTTTCTCCTTAAATATTATTAATATTAACCTCTTGAAGCGCACTGACCCGACTTTTTTTATTAATTACTATATTTATTACTATTAATATCAGTATTAATAACATGTATTAATATTAATGATTTGTTCAAATTAACAACTATTAATACTAATATCCTATTAAAATAATATATAATTTCATATATTATTGTTTGTTGTGTAAATGTATTATTATTATTATATCAGTTACTATTAATATTAATTAATTGTTAATACTTATTTAATAGTATTGATATTAATAACATTTATTAATGTTGCCAATTAATATCAATATTATTTTTTAATACTGAAATTAATTCCTGTTTGTATCATATGCAATATCCTGTCAATATGAATCGTTAGTGTTGATATTAATAATACATATTAATATTATCAGTTAATACTAATGTGTTAATACTTATCAATTAAGTATTAATACTAATAAAATGTATTATCAGTGATTTTTGATATGAATTAATACAAATAATAATTAATATTAGTACAATATAACCTATTGATATTAGTCATTAGTGTTAATATTACTTATATTCATCAAACTTACAATGTCAGTTCGTATGAATTACTTTAATACTAACGTTTTTAAAAAAAATTAAAATACAGTTGTCCAAATATGTTATTGTATTTGCTTTACCCATAGGTCTATTTTATGTGTATGCTGCAATGCTGTTTACACGTCGCTCCACTTATTCCCAACGTGAATCCGTCTTTTAAGTGTCACTGACCTTTTCCCCCAGCTTTTACTCATGTACTTGAGTTAAAATAGTTAATCACATGGTGTGTATGAGAGCATATGAGTGTGTATTCGCCCTCAGGAGGACTTCATGTGAAGTCTGGGCCTCGAGTGTTGATAGGACCACCGAAGCGGCATCTCCCTCGTTCCTCGTGTGAGGAGACATCAGACAATCTGATATTCTCGCTGGGACCAAAGTTTGACCTCACTTACAAACAGGCCTTTTATTGTGTGCTAAAACTCAGATTTGTCGTCCGCCTCAGGCCATGTACGACACATTATCATCAGTAAGAGGACACACTAAAAGGACTACTTGAAGCTTTGCCCCATTGGCCCTCCTATTTTTCATCATTAGCTCTTAGTTAATGCTTTTTGCCCAACTTCGTGCTCTTACAAAGTCGTTTTTGTTGCTTTTTTTCCCCTGGCCCATTTCCACAGTAGCTTAGCAACAGGCTAATGTTTAATGTGGTTTCCAGAAGGATGTCAGTCGCGTTTAGCTGATGCACTTTACTCCAGGCCTTTTTGCTAGGTTTTATTGATACGATTGTGGAGAGGAGATTGTGAGAGGAGGAGGAAACGATGTGGAGAAAAGGTCAAAGGCCATGGTACTGACATCCCTGATCTCTTTGATTTTGTGATGTTTTGCAGCAAAAGAAAGCAAACAGAGAAGTGAAATGTGTGGGTAGTTGTGAGTGTGTAAGTGTGTTCAATAATGAGTTATTAGTCTTAAATGGTGTCGTTCTCCAACCCCCGCCCTCCTGAATGAATCACTGACAAAAGCTTATTATGTTCCCTTTTGATCTGGCACGTTTTTATGCTCTAACCCTTTCACGTTCAAGTCAAATGACCCCCAATGTGTTTTCCTGCCTCACCATTAGACATTCATTCTGTCCAAACCATACTTTATATATTCATCCATTATTATTCCATCCATTTGGTCATGTGTACAATCTGCCTTTATTTTAACTGAGATCCATCACTAAAATAAGAATGGATTAAATAATGGATTGAATTGATCAAAAGTGACCGTTAAGGCATTTAAAATGTTACAAAATATTTCTATTTCAAATAAATGCTGTTATTTAGACCTTTCTATTCATCAAATAAATGTATATTTTAAAATATGAAGCAACTGTTCTTAAAAATAATAATAATATTTTTTTCATGAGCAGCTAATCAGAATATTATAATTTTCATTATGGATGTCGGAATATATATATATATATATATATTTTCCGACATTTTAAACACTAGTGTGCTCATCTCACTACGTCCATTATCTTATTGGAGTGTTCCAGGTTCAATATGAGTTCAACTCTATCGACAGCATCTGTGACATGTCGATTACCACTGACAATCATTTTGACTCGACACGTAGTTTGTAAACGCATGCAAAAAATTGCATGTCCAGTAATAATCCACTTACAGTTGTAGTCAATGCGGCAGGATGTTGCACTGGGGTAAATGCTCAGATTTATACAGTTTTAAAAGTCAACTGAGATGCTGACCGAAGTGTGTTATTTGCAGAAAGGAGAGCCGTCAGGTCCACTGCTGGTGGAGGACGGGCGAGAGCAGCTGATGTTTGAAGTTCCTTTGAACGACTCCGGCTCAGCTGGTCTGGGGGTCAGTCTGAAGGGTAACAAGTCCCGAGAGACCGGAGAAGACCTGGGCATCTTCATCAAGTCCATCATCCACGGTGGCGCCGCAAACAAGGTAAAAGCGGCCAGCGTCAACGCTCACGTCCATTCATTTGAGAGCTTCAGTGATGAAAGTCACTCAAAACCTGTGCATGTCGCAACAGAACAACACACAGTGCTGATTTACAGTTCTAATAAAAATCATTTAAAATTAAGAAAGTGATTAAATACATACATACTTTAAGAAATACTATACATAGTATACAAGAAATAATACATAATTCATTTAACTTGAAATGTTAAAATGTTAAGTATTTGTACATATTATAATTAGATTAATAAATGCATTAAAAATCTGATATTTTAGTGTTATTTTTACACTATAGTATTTTTAAATATGTAAAATTAGCTTGTATATTTTCATTTAATTTCAGCGTGTTTTAGTTATGTTTTTAAATATTTCTATTTAGCTTTCTGTAGTAGTAGTAATTTAGTACTTAAACTTGTTTCAGTTAGCTTTCAAAGCAAATTTTAAAAGTTCTTTTTTTAAATCTAATATTTTATCTAATTATTTTAGATTTATTTCAATTAAAAAGGAGATTTAATAGTTTTATTTAACAATAACAACACTGGTGAGAAAAAAAAGAAGGTTATTTTTTAATGTTAACTATTGCATTAACTACTTTAAGCCTATTTAAATTCAAAGTAAACACTTGGTTTAGATAATATGAATGATAAATTCACAAAAAATTATTTGACACCCTAAAATGTACATTCATAAGGCATTGTCTCCCAAGTTAATTGTTTCAAATATTGTATTAATTTGTAATTAGCACTATGTTTTGGGAAGCAATAATATACACTCACCTAAAGGATTATTAGGAACACCTGTTCAATTTCTCATTAATGCAATTATCTAATCAACCAATCACATGGCAGTTGCTTCAATGCATTTAGGGGTGTGGTCCTGGTCAAGACAATCTCCTGAACTCCAAACTGAATGTCAGAATGGGAAAGAAAGGTGATTTAAGCAATTTTGAGCGTGGCATGGTTGTTGGCGCCAGACGGGCCGGTCTGAGTATTTCACAATCTGCTCAGTTACTGGGATTTTCACACACAACCATTTCTAAGGTTTACAAAGAATGGTGTGAAAAGGGAAAAACTTTGACTGAAATAACCACTCGTTACAACCGAGGAATGCAGCAAAGCATTTGTGAAGCCACAACACACACAACCTTGAGGCGGATGGGCTACAACAGCAGAAGACCCCACCGGGTACCACTTATCTCCACTACAAATAAGAAAAAGAGGCTACAATTTGCAAGAGCTCACCAAAATTGGACAGTTGAAGACTGGAAAAATGTTGCCTGGTCTGATGAGTCTCGATTTCTGTTGAGACATTCAGATGGTAGAGTCAGAATTTGGCGTAAACAGAATGAGAACATGGATCCATCATGCCTTGTTACCACTGTGCAGGCTGGTGGTGGTGGTGTAATGGTGTGGGGGATGTTTTCTTGGCACACTTTAGGCCCCTTAGTGCCAATTGGGCATCGTTTAAATGCCACGGCCTACCTGAGCATTGTTTCTGACCATGTCCATCCCTTAATGGCCACCATGTACCCTTCCTCTGATGGCTACTTCCAGCAAGATAATGCACCATGTCACAAAGCTCGAATCATTTCAAATTGGTTTCTTGAACATGACAATGAGTTCACTGTACTAAAATGGCCCCCACAGTCACCAGATCTCAACCCAATAGAGCATCTTTGGGATGTGGTGGAACGGATGCTAACTGTGATTCACCCAAAGTCACCTCAAACTAAAAAAACAAAACAAAACAAAAGTAGATGAATCATCAGATGAATAGTGGCCATTGTAGCCTGTTAAGGTTTGTCATGGTGGTTCGGGTTATGCTGTATCTGTTGTAATAGGTGAACCTTAGCAAGTGTCGTCAGAGAGATATGAATACTCGTCTCCTGTCCTCAATCAGTCCAGTCAGGCAGCAGGTGTGTGTGTGTGTGTGTGTGGATAAGGCCACATCTACTGGCCCCTATCAGCACTGTGATCAAGAGTGGGCTCAGAGGTGGAGCTGCGTCTCTGGCCCCTATCAGCACTCCAGTGGAGAGCGAGCTGCATCACAGGCCTCCATCAGAGAGACGCTCAAAGACATAGACATTTTCAAAGGCTGAGCTCTTCATTTGACTTCGGCCGTTCACCCTTATCACTCGCTTTCTGTTGCTTCGTCCTCAAGCACTCCAAGATTGAGATAAAATGGGCATGAATTTAGAAGCTCCATAATTTCTAGAATAAATGATTGGAATGCAATTATTCTGCTTAGTAATAAAGAAAAACATGTCGTAGGCTATCTTTGGAGCTCTTCACGAGGTGGCGTCCTCCACGAGGACTTTAAAAAGCCATCTTGGGTTGTGATCTTCCAGACGGTCTGCTTGTGTACGCATGAGTATATTTCCTCAATAGATGGGCACAAGTGTTTGTGTCCGTCCTGCCTGTGACGCCCTCCCAGGTCGGTATCAGTGGTCTGCGGTCAGTGACCCCGCTCAAGGGTCAGGATCATCCGCCGTGACACAGACTCTCAGGAGTCTTTAGCGGCTCCAGTGGCTTTTAGCTGCTAATCTCTTTTGTTCCTCCTCAGCTGAGTTTTATTTAGGAAACCACAGCTGTGAACCGTAATCCAATTCACTCCGGCCTGGTCCTTTCACACTAATGATATGCATCTGACTGTAATTGTATCTGAATTCATACTGGGATGCATTAAACATTTAACAGTGGGGCTAGACACTGCATAAATGTTTAAATCACACTATAGGGCTTTAGTGCTGGGAGTAGCTTGCTAAAAGTAGCACTGCTACTAACTTGACTACATGTTAAAATGTGCCGTTTTCAAACTTTTCTGTCCTAAAGAGTAGTGGCGGTTCATTGAAAAGTACAGATTCAAAAGAACAGTTAGTTCACAAACCGGGTTAAAAGTATATTTAATGCTGTCATCTTGAATGAGATGTGTATGATTTTGTATTAAATTTCTTTTAGTTTTTTTGTGCTTGATTATACTGCTCTTGATCTATAAATACATTTGATATCATATAGATATAATATTATAGTAAAACATTTAAGAAGTTTTAATCGTATTAATCTTTCTGTATCTAGTACTATGAAACGAATTGTTTTTTTTATTCAATTTGTTATATTTAATTTTAAATTCTGCACTGAATTTAGTGGTAAATTATATATCTTGCATCAAAAATGTAAGCACTGCCATGATGATTTATAATTGTTTTTATTTTTATTTAGGTTTTGTTTCATTTTGTAATTTTATTTTTTATATTTCATTTGAAATATGCCATTGAATTTATAGGTAAATTACATGTCTTATTATAGTAACAATTTTAAGAGCTTTTCAATACATCTATAACTAGTACTATGGTATGTAGTTAAGTTTTTTAGTTTTTTTTGGCACTGAATCTGTAGGTTTATTAATGTATATATCTACCTACTTCTGAGTAGCTCTACGTGTTGAGTGACATTGGTGTTTGTCTTGCCTTGTTTGCAGGATGGCCGCTTGCGTGTCAATGACCAGCTGGTGGCTGTTAACAGTGAATCCCTGGTCGGACGCTCCAACCATGATGCCATGGAAACCCTTCGGTACTCCATGTCGACTGAAGGGAACCTCAGAGGAACCATCCAGCTGGTGGTCCTGCGTGCTCTGGAGCGCTCGCCTGCACAGGTATGCCCAGTACCTGTACCGTACCATGTGTACCACTACAGACCGCTTACCCGCAGGGCCTCTGAACCCAGGTCACAGGCCACAGCCCACCGGTATCGCCACTATCGGCATCACAGGCTATCAGGTGACCTCTGAATGGTAGGCCCTGTTTACAGCTGGTATTAAGATGCGTTTCGGTCGATCTGATCACGAGTAGACGAGGCAGACCTGTTTATACCTGTTGTTTTAATCCGTCTCTTTTGTCTACTTTCAACCACTTCTGTCCTAATTTCTTTAAGGGGAGGGTCTATGGGCGGGTAAATGTATGGGTTTTTCAGATCGTTCAATCTAATGGACAAAATAAGCTCTCGCAATTTACATATGAACACAAAAGTGGATGACGGAAAACACACGGAGAGCACCAGATTTTGTTTTCTGCGCTGTAGGTGTGTTAGAAATCAGGAATGGTGAGAGAACATTGTGCTTGGTACATTTTACTTCATCCAACCTAACGTGGATCTTAATGCCGACAAAGTTTAAATCCCGTCTGGATAGCGCGCTTCCCATAATGTTTACGCATTAGGTCAGTAGGCGAGAGAAGACAGTCTTTTGTGGCTGTTCGAACACATTTGACCACATGAGTGTTTACGCTTCGAAAGCAATCCGGTCGAATGCGTGGTTGAAAGTGGTCACATTTACATCTGTATTTAGCGCCGTCCACTTGTGATCCGATCGACCAAAACGCATCTTAATTCCAGGTGCAAACAGGACCTTAGCTATTGTGCACAAGGAAACACACACATGCTGTGGCTGAAAGGGGAAAAAATGGTTTTAAATTTAATTAGATTTAAATGACTTATGTACTGTTGTTATCCTACAAGGACAACAGAAAAAAGGCTTCTGATTAAAAAGCTGTGTGCCAATAAAATTGTTAAATACTTAAAGCTCTTTTGTCCCAGTTAAAAAAGCCTAACACAATTGGGGTCTGTTATATGAGTTACCATGTGAGGCATTGCAGTATCATTGTGGACATTTGGGATGGAGGTCCTTGAAATTAAATCAGTATAGATCCATTTTTTTTTTTTTTTTTTACACATTGAAGATTGTTCTTTTCCTTGTTTTTCCTTGACTTCATGAGAAAGCACGTTCTTCTCTCATGCTTCCTGCTTTTATAGTAACTTCGTGCACATGCTTGTACAGTATATTCATTTACTATTTTCACTTATTTATTAATGGAACATATACTTGTCAATGTCTGCTTTTCTTTTACTTCTTTTCTGTATCGCTGAAGTTTTCTTATTGAATAAAATAATCTCAAATCTTAGCATGCACTCTGTTTCCTTTTAACCCTCTGGGCTTTTCTTCCTGGATCTTCTCTGTTTATTCTCTAAAGAGCATGTGTTGTCATACTTTTCTTTCTTTCAGCTTTTGAGAGATTTATCCAGTTCTTAAACTTTAAAAGTTGCTGGATGCAGTGTGTACACTACCATTTAAAAGTTTGGGGTCCATAATATTTTTTTTTACCTTTAAAAAAAAAAGAAATTTATATTTTTATTCAGCAAAGATGCATTAAATTGACAGTGACAGTAAAGAACATCTATAAAATAAATGCAGTTCTTTTGAACTTTCTATTCATCAAATAATCCTTAAATTTATCGTTTTTTTTTTTTTTTTTTTTTTTACAAAAATATTAAGCAGCACAACTGTTTTCAACATTGATAATAATAAGAAATGTTTCTTGAACAGCAAATCAGCATATTAGAATGATTTCTGAAGGATTCTGAATGACAATGCTGGAAATTCAGCTTTGCATCACAGGAATTAATAACATTTTGAAATATACTAGAGAAACTAATTATATATTAAATAAATATATTTTTTTTTACTGTATTTATAATTAAATAAATGCATTATTGGTGAGCATTGGACTTCTCTGAGAAACATAAATAAATAAATAAAATTACCCCAAACACTTGAACGGTAGTGTATATGCTCTATCTCAGTGGTCTCAAACTCGCGGCCCGCGGGGTGATATTTTGTGGCCCCCTACTTGACATTAAATTTTAATGTTAGTGCGGCCCGTCATTGCGTGTGCCGAGTTTTTTTTTTTTTTATCCCTTATGGGCTACCATAGATAGTCTCGTGACAGCTTACGGTGGGTTTGTTGTCAATAGTTGTCATAGACAACCGCGAAGTACAAACATACTGCGCCTGGAAAAAATGAGCGCGTCGCTTCAATTATGAGCGCGCTTACCGCGCGCCTACATTTGAAATAACGAACTTGAGCGCGCAAAATATGTGAGCGCGATATGTGAACGGCCCCTTGGCGAGCTACCACCAATCAGGCCACGAGCTACTGGTAGCTCGCGAGCGACGTGTTGGAGAGTGACCCTAAAACAATGTGAGAATAATCACTTTGAGCTTGTAATATGTGTCCAACAGGTTGATAAGAAGGTTTGCTCTGATTTGTGCAGTCAGTAATTTGAGACACTATACATGTGTAGAAACAATTCAATAAGACGGGCAGACATGACTGCAAATATTTGTATTTCAAAAGCAATAATTGTTTTTCTAAGTATAATAAAAGGAAATGTGCCTTCCAAAAAAAACATTCAATATCATTAATGTGTTGTATAGAGAAAATAAAAAGGACATAAGCAAATATAAATATCACAAATATGTGTTATAGACAAAGAAAGTTTGTAAAATGAACTTCAACTGTCAGAAGGACAGCTCATGAAGAACCAATCATGTACAGAAAGGAATGTTCAAATTCAGAGGAACAGTTCAGAAGAAACGTTAATAATAAATATTGAGAAGATTGGATCAGTTGTGCTCCTTTTTTGGAATACTTGAATACTATTTTTTGTGGAATACTTGATGTGGCCCAGCCTGACCCAGACTCTACCTCAAGCGGCCCCCAGTTAAGTTGAGTTTGAGACCCCTGCGTCTATCTGATCAAAATATTCTGAAAATCACAAAAAATGAAATATTAAAGTGGACATTACGTGACTCAACAGGTGAACATTATATTTAAGAATGAGAAAGCTTTAGAAAGCAAGAATCTGAGAAGCATAACATTGCATCAGATCAATGCATTTCAATTGAGTCCATATTCTCTTGTACGCAGTTAATGCACTAAAAATATGCAATGTTAACCCATGCATTTCCACTAAACACCTGTTTGAAACCTTCAGTGTCTTTAGGTCTTCAGTGTATATATAGGTTTTGTTTGACACTCGCACATAAGTTTTTCTCTCTTGTAATATTGTCAGTTTTACATGTGTTTCAGGGGGTCCGCCATGTTCACTGGGGTCCCCCTTTTGTTAATGTGGTGGTAAGTTTAAGGAGTCACTCTCTGTATTAAAGAACCTGCATGACGATATCCTTGATAATGGATTCGGTTTCACATGATGAAATCAGACAAGTCAGCTAAAAAAATACAAATAAAAATGTACATAATAATGGAGACAACTGGAGTTTCCAAACTCCAGTGTTGTATCTATGGAAAAATGTTTATCACTTCAGGAAATAGGTGTCTTTGTTATATAAGCATATTTTTTCAGAAATAGGCTCATATTTAGTGTATGTTTTTTCCTTTCTTTTATGGGAACTAGTCTTAACGCGCATTTTGTTGGGGCGGTGGATCAATTTCCATGAGTCGGCAGCTCACTAAAACATCATTTTTCACCCAAGAGATTATAAAAAACTGCAGGAAATTTTTCTTTTGATCTTCTGAGGTCACATGGTAAAGTTTCTAAATGCTTAGAAATGTTCAAATGTGACTTGATTCGAATTTAAAGTCTTTGTATCCAAGGTTAAACTGGGATGGTTCATCTATACCGACAGCTTCTCATCAACGTCCAATGAAAATGAAGACAAATAGTAATTGACTGACTTTGGGTGGGTGAAGACTGGAGTATTATTGGGGAACATTAGCTTATCCTCAACCCAATCTAGTGGTAGAAAGATGGTGATCGGTGCGGGCGGTAATGACGCTCAATAGAAGGTGATGTGTCGCTGAGATGCATTCTTCATTAATCACATGCAGACGGAGCGATCAATATGCCATTAATCACCCAGACAGAGTTGAGTGATAAGAGAACGAGTGGGAGGTTAGAGAATCAAAAGTGTTTATGGACTAAACTTAATGAGATGGTTCCTCAATTCAAGAAAAAATACTGCAATCAAAATAAAAATAAAATCATATCATCATGGATTTTTGGACTTTGGTAATACTAGATTAATACTAGACAAAAAAGTGAATTTTCATACCATGGTATATTCAAAGTATTCCATCACTGTACCATGGAACCAGCACAGCACTTTTTTGTAATAAATTTTTGTAATTATTGCTACTGTACAAAAGTTTGGGGTCAGTAAGATTGTTTAATGTTTTTCGAAGAAGTCTCTTATACTCACCAAGGCTGCGTGTATTGGATCAAAAATACAGTAAAAACAGTAATTTTGTGAAATATTATTGCAATTTAAAGGAACTATCCTATTTGCATATATTTTAAAATGTAATTTATTCATGTGATTCAAAGCTGAATTACTCCAGTCTTCAGTGTCACGTGATCCTTCAGAAATCATTCTAATATGATGATTTGCTGCTCAAGAAACAATTCTAATCATTATCAATGTTAAAAACAGCACAATATTTGTGAGGAAATCGTGATACCTTATTTTCAGGATTCTTTAATGAATAGAAAGTTCAAAAGAACAGCATTTCATGAACTCTTTAAAATCTTTACTGTCACTTTTGATCCATTTAATACATCCTTGTTGAATAAAAGTATTAATTTCTTTAAAAAAGAAGCAAACTTGCACAGTAGAGTACTTTAGAGTACAATGATTTCATGTGAAACCTCCGTCTTTGTTCCTCCTTCCTCGTTCTTCTCCTTCCTGTTTCTTCCCGCCCAGTCTGATATCTAATCCCGTTACCTCGCAGGATCTCCTCTTGCTCAGCAAGTTAATCAGTTTACGCCATGGGTTCCATGAATGAAAGGCAAATTTAGGGTTTTAATGAAAGGCTGCCCGGGGCTACCCTGAGGGTCCCTAACCTCAGCTCACCCTCACTGCTGCCCGTGTGAAGAGGGGAGGAGACATCCATGGGTTTAGGGTCTTGTTTTGTTGGCTCTTTGTCTTCGACGGTGGACCCAAACTCCCTTGTCATTGTTGTCTGATTAAGACGTGCTGCACACAGTCTTTGAAGATGCCAGAGAGATTATCGGTGTGTGTGCGCGTGTGGTGTTGTGGGAGTTATAGTGGATATTTCACTGAATGACAATTTGATCATGTTATAGACATGTTGACTGATGCAAGGAGAACTCATACTTTGACATTTTCTTCAGATGCTAGTGCTTGTCAAGGCATTGTAATGCAGTCGCTAGGGTGCTCTAGGTGGTTGTTTTTATTTTGTGGTTGCATTTTATCATCCACCAGGCAAAATTCCTCCTTCTACTCAAACCACATGATTTGAGATGTCATTCATGTCTGTTTCACACATAGTGCTGCATGCGTTTTGCATGCAAGATTAGATTTAGTGCTAGTTTTGCAAGATTAGTAATAGTGGTCAGGGGTTTGTTTAAATCCGTGTGAGCAATAGTAATAGTGATCCTCGCTTTAACAAGCCCCACTAATAAGGACGATGCAACGGTTGAAGTCGGTGGGAGGTGAACATGTAAATCAATAATTTCGACTTTTCATTTTTAGTTTCCCTCCGTCTGGATTCTAGCAGTTGCTGTCCCATCATTCTTCAAGTACCTTTTGATATTTTCCTGCCAGCTCTCTATTAGACACATGCATACGTTAACCGTTGTCAAGGCACAGATCACAGTGAAAGACAGCGAAAAATGTTCCTTAGTCTCAGCATAGGGGGTTTTAGAGTCGTTTTTATGACAAATATAATCTCTGAGGAGAAAGAAAGCCTGGGAATCAGTTGTTTGGTCCATTGATGATTCCTGTGCGTCTGGAGAGACAGCGAGCAGGAGGCAGATGACAAGAGTGACGTTTCCACGTGTAAAGAACCATCATCCCCGCTAATGACTGTCCTCCAGCTGAGGCTTAACGTCGGAACAAAAGAACGAGGCTTTCATCTGTTTTTCCCCGCCATGTGGAATAGTACGGTATGAATGCATTTAAGCACACTTTGATATGGTGATATCCTAATACCTTTCATGTCCGTCCAGTGAGTCTGGGCTGTGAGTACTGTGTTTGCGTTTGTAGCATGTGGTTTGTATGACAGTATGAAGTCTACAGTGTTCCTCCTCTGGGTTAGCCGTCCACACAGTGACAGCTGTAGCTCCTTTGTCGTCTGAGAAGAATCATTCGGTGGCCTCACGTCTTCATATTGACACATGTTTCCGTATCCGTCTTGACTAGTACTGTCTGGGAGGATTGCCTTTGGCTTATGAATATTTCTAAATATGTCAGGGTTGCTTTTATCCTTTTGTCATTTACAGTTTGTTTTCAACAGATTTTTTTTCCCAATATGTTTTTTCTAGATCAGGGTAGTTTTCTCAATTTTTTTTGAGATGTCAATGTCTTTAAGTCTCTGCAGTTTTCCGTCTAAAACATGCACAATTTTACACTACCACTGAAGTTTGGGGTTCGTAAGGTTTTTAAAAAAATTGTTTTATGCTCACCAAAGCTGCATTTATTTTACCAAACGACAGTAAAAATATTAATATTGTTACAATTTAAAATGAATTAGCTATTTTTACATATTTTAAAATTTGTATTTCTGTGACACAAAGCTGAATTTTCTGCATCATTACTCCAGTCTTCAGTGTCACATGATCCTTCGGAAATCATTCTAATATGATGATTTGCTGCTCAAGAAACATTTCTTATTATTATGTTTAAAACAGCTGTGCTGCTTAATTTTTATGGAATGCATGCTTTTATGGAAAGCATGGTGCATTTTAATTTTGTCTTTTTGATATTTCGATGAATAGAAAGTTCAAAAGAACAACATTTATTTGAAATGCAAATCTTTTGTGACATTATCAATGTCTTTACTGTCACTATAGGTCAATTTAATGCATTATTTCTGAATAAGAGTATTTATTTATTTCCCACCTCTAAAAAATATACAGACCCAAAACCTTTGAGCGGTAGTGTAGGTTGCTTGCATTCAGGTATGGAGCATCATGATGTGTCACGCTACTTTTGATGAAAATGACTTGTTTATTTACGCTCCATATTTGAATATACTTGAATGTAAATTTCAATATATTTCATGCATGCATGTGAGGGTAAGTTGAGAGTTAAGTAAACCATTTTTGAGTGAACTCCAGTTCCTTTACCTTGTTTTATTGCACTGCATGGCAAGTTTCCTCTTGTTGACAGTCTGACAGCATGAGCCCAACATGGAACGGATATGGAAGTTGGTCACTATGCTTTAAAAATGTCTGTGTTTGTTGTTAAGCCTTTCTCCCCATTAGCATCTTCCAGATCATTGTTTTGTATAATTGTCTAAAATTTATTCTCTACAAATTTTCGCTCCCTTCTAGGAAATTCAGGAAGACAGTCAATCTCTCCCTAGAAACGACTCTCCTGTTCATCATCATCCTCATCCTAACAGCAACTACACCAACAGTTCCATACCACCATCCACAGCGAACAGCCGTGTGTACGAAGCTGCTCCTGGTAAGTGCTCACAAGCCTCACATGCATTGATTAAATTGCTGGAGGTCACAGAAAGTTGCTGTACTGTTAGTTCCTACCAGAGCATGTGAGGAGAGCGGTAATATTTCCTCCAGAGCGCTTCCTGAAGATTACGCTCAGGGCCGCTCGCTCAACCCAGAATGCCCTTTGTGATATGTTAGTTTGAGAATATGTGAAATAAGCAATAGCTCTAAGGTTATGGAGTTCAAATCTTGTTTTAATTAAGTTGCGAACCTTATACATAAATGCAAAGTAAACATCTAAATTTAGAACGAAGGAGAAGAAATTGAAGGGGTGTGTGGAGAAACTAAGTTAGCAAAGATTCATTTCGTGATTCAAGTTCTTTTTCGTTTTTTTGCTTAGGGGTAAAAAGAAGTTTGAAATACTGTTGAAGCAATATATTGCTAACAAACATACCGATGCCGTCCACTCTGATGAGAGCGTCGTTTAGATGAATGTGTGACCCGTGCTGGAAAAATGAGTCTCAATGAGCACATTTTGAGCGAATTTATCTTCACATTCCCTATTAAAAAAACCTTCAAAATGATGTATGATTTGTTGGAATCAGACAAAACATGATTGCTGACTTGAGAAAAGATTTGAGAAAAATCGAGTTAAAGTTTTCTGAAGGTTCCAAAACAAAATCACCTAGCAACCATACCTTAAAATCCCTGGTAATAACACCAAATTTGGCAAACACCAAGTCAAACCCAAATATCTATAGGACAAATACATGATACCACAATTGTTTGATTAATATATAGGCTCTCTGTTTCATTCATGTTAAGACCTACTGTACCGCACGGATCTAATATAATGTTACACATCAGATGATATTCCCCAACAGTAAATATAACGTCCACTTAAGACATAACAGATAGCCTAATGTTTGCGTGAATACTCGCCAAAACAGATATTTTTAAATGCTGTTGTTCTGTGTAGGCTGTGTGTGTATCGGGATCATGTGCTGTCTGAGGCGTCTTTGTGCGCTCGCTTCGGATCTGTCAGTCAGCGCGAGTGAGATCGTTTACATCAACATGAGTTTAAACATCACATTTCATTGGTTCAGACTCATGCCATCGAGAATTTGCTATGAATATTCAGAAAGTTGGAATTCTGCGCTTTAAAACGATACCAAACTTGTGCTGAGGGGAAGTACAGTCGTCGTGAAGCAAGCAGAGAAAAATGCCATTTTTCATGAACAAAGGAAAATAAACGTACAAATAAAGATACTTTTAGGTGTTTAATTGCTATTTGGAGCATTGAGATCTCTAGACAAGGTCTTAATCAACACATTTTTGTGAACCTCAAATTCACAGAATATTTTTCACTTGTTTTGCCTGTAGCTTGTAATTAGTCCATGCGCATTACGACTAATTTCTCCAGCACGGGTCACACATGTAGATATGTACGCTTTCCTCTCAATAACAAAATAAACATAAAACAAAACCAACAGCGGTGAGAAAACAGCACGAGCTCTGCAATTCGGCACTCCAGTCACGTCAACTTAATTTATACCATTTATACGAAATTGCTTTAAAGCCACAAATATCATAACTGTTATCTATAGGCCTACTGTAATGTAGTCTCAGCCTCAGACGTCACGCCCACGGAACGTTGGCTAAACGTCTGATGCATATGGTACACTTAACTGGAAACACTTCAGGAATGTCGAAGTCGTCATCTGATTGGTTGAATTTTATCGGATTTCCGGGGGGCGCGAGTGTCGCGTTTATTTTCGGTCCGCCGGTAAACAAAGCGCAGACGTGTGATTGCGGAAGAAAAACTGTTGTGTTTACATGAGTGACAATGAGCATTTATCAAGCTCAGCTAAACGTAGGATTCTCAAAAGTATGCGAGGTTCACGGCATAGACTCTTGAAGTTTTCTTCTCCTTCTTTGATTTTCTATGCTGACTGACTTGTTGCACGCCGGTCTGTTGTTGTGGGGACATTTCCACACCCCGAAACGTGACGCTGAACGAACCAAGGGGGTAATCCATCGACCGGAAGTTGAAGTCGGCCGGGTGCCGCCATCTTGTAGCAGAACTTCACTTGCGTTAGCATTTCCATTGACTCCCATTCATTTTGGCGTCACTTTGACAGCGAATAACTTTACATCTGAGGCGTTTAAAGACTCCATTTGTCCATTATTTATTTCTAAAGAAACACGACAATGTATAAAGGGCTCCATTACCTTATATGTTACATTATGGCCCCGTAGAAACAGTTTTTGTAAAAATAGGCTAACGATTGCGTCATAACCACTCGACTCTGTCGCGCTGTACAGAAGTTACCGTACAGACAGGAGGAGAAGCTCGCAGGCAATCGGGGGGACGTCCCGTCAAGGGAGAAGCCCATAGATAATGAGTCCATAAAAGCAACGGAATACTTACTCCTGCTCACTCACGCCAAAGAACTCTTTGCTCAAGTTCCCCGTCTCTGCAAGATTAACGTTGGCAATTTTCACGCACAGCTACTAGAAGATTAACGTCTGTCAGACAGGTTGCACACGTCATTAAGCTTAGTTTGAGTCGGTTTGAGTCTGCGCGTCAGGAACGGAAGTGCTCAAAAATCGATAAAAATGGGCTTCAACTGAGTTCCAATGAGATGGCTCTGTCCACTTCTTATACTGTCTATGGAACGAAACGGACTGTAATGGGTTGTTTTACATGTCGGTCAAACGGCCTTATGGGCGGGCCTTGGCCAAAGAAAGCTGCTATGAATTCCAGACCTTCAGCCGTCAGTCTGAAGGTCTGGCTACGCGAGACTAACTGTAATGAGACATTTACGAAGTTCATCACAAACAGAAAGACGTATGGTTCAGTGAAATTTCATGTCGTAGTGGGATTTGAGCGAATGTCGTTTTACCGGTGAACGTTTGCTTGAGCTGTTGAAGGTAGTGCACTGGCATGGAGTGAAATATCGAGCAGAGCGTCACGCCGCTCCGCTTCGCGCACATGCTCTGGTTCTTACTGGGCTTCCTGAACAGCTGCGCTTTCCAACTGGATCATGTGACGGATCACATTGTTTCGCATGACCGCTTTGGTGGTGGTCGCCAAATCACGTTCTGTGTGAATGCACCTTCACTTATTGAGTGCATTTTTAACAGCACACCAAATGATAAAAGTAATTGCTTTTATATAATGTTAAGTGCTTTCATCTAAATTCTCTCACTGTTAAAGAAACAAAAGAAATTGATCAGTGCTCAGCAATAGAAAGCATGCGTTCATCATCAACACCACGTGAAGAGAGCTTCGCTCCTCTGTAAGAGGACCAAATGAGTTCATTTTCTCAGCCGCCTCATTTTCCATGCCAGCGTAGCTTTCCATTAGCTTTTTCGACTTATACAAGTTGGAAATCTGCCCATCTCATCAATAGGGATGAAAAAGCCAATGACGATATTTTTGCTACATTCCCTTCCGTTTTTATGCAACGCGGCCTGACCTTGAAATCATTAAGCTGATGAAATGGATTCTAAGTGGGCCTTATTAGCATACTCGCAATTGTGCCGAGCGCTTGAGAACGGATAACAAACTGTTTTAAATTCACACTATTCTTTCCCCGCGCTCTCCAGAGAGTTGCTGTGCCAACACAAAAGGCTTTTTCCATGTTTTTTGGAAACCATTGTTTACTGATTAGCGTCTCTTGTCCGTCAAAGTATGTGGCTGTACTTTAGTCGCACAAAGAGGGATGTGATATTTACACACATCTCATTTTAATTTCAGATTACTTTCCATACTCGTTTCAGTTAGATTTGGTAAAAATCTGAAAAACATTCAAGCAGAACTCGTACAAATGCCATTTTGTTGAGTTTTAACGAGGTATAGTTTTTAATCACGTGTTTTTACCAGCATTTATATTTCATGTCACTGCATATGACAGTCACTCTCTGGACTCACGATATGATTCATGTCTAAATGGTGGAAGAAATGGGGACAGTAGTGCAGAACATTGAGCAGTAATGGAGATATTTCAATGTTATCATTGATCTGAACATCGTGTGGTCATTGAGAAGGTCTCAAACACAGCCGTGTGTGTTTTTCTCACATGATTCACAACTGAGTGAACGTGGTCAAGTGTGTCTTATTCCTCATAATGGCAGGATTTTCATTTTTCACCCTGTCATTTCAAACCTTTATATTTCTCGGTGGAATGCAAAAGGACATGTTAGTCAGGTTGCACATTGCTTTTTCATACAATAGAAGTGAACTACGGCTGTTGAGCTCTAAAACTGACAAAACACACAAATCCTCTGAATCCTTCTGGATACTTGTTTACACTTTGTACAGCACGTTGGCCAACAGCTGTTGTTTTTAAATGTGCTCTATAAATAAATATGACTGACTGACTGAATCCATACAATGGCTTTGTGTGATGGACATCAGCTCTAATAATGGTATATAACATTAAATCTCATATTTCCAAACAGCTCCACACAGATCCCATGGCGAAAGACAGGAACTGCCGGAGGAGGACTACGAGGAAGATGATTTCCCCCCTCCACCTTCTGATCAGGACCTGCTGGAGACAAACCTTCTGCACAAACACCAACCAGATCGGTTAGTTATAGAGCTCAGAATAACATCAGAGATAATAACTGTAGTTCATAGAATTTCTTTGAGTTCTCATATCATGAAACCAGATAATCTGGTACTTTGATCAACGCTCAGTATCCCGAAGGCTTATTTCAAAGACTTGAACACAATGATACCATGTAGAAGAATTATTTATGCCATTATCTAGTTGTGCCATCAAATATTCATTCAAATACCTAATTTTATCCACTTACATATTCTTATTTACTTAATATACTTACATACACACAGAAACAATCATATATAAAATGGTGGACAGAAATGATATAAATGTATTTTTTTCAGTACTAAAAATGTATATAAGATTTCTTAGATAATACTTGTATGCAGCAAGGATGCATTAAATTGATTAAAATTGACTGTAAAGACATTTATAAAGTTTGTTTCAAATAAATGCTATTCTTTTAAACTGAAGCAGCACAACTGTTTTCAACACTGATAATAATAATAATAATAATAAAAAAAAATGTTTCTTGAGCAGCAAATCAGCATATTATAATTTCTGAAGGATCATGTGAAACTGAAGACTGGAGTAATGATGCTGAAAATTAGATTTGTCTCACAGGAGTAAATTATATATTTTAAGTTTAAAACAGTTATTTTAAATTGTAATAGTATTTCATAATATTACTATTTTTAGTGTATTTGATCAAATATATGCAGCCTTGGTGAACATCAGAGGCTTCATTCAGAAACTTTATTCCCAAACTTTTGTATTTTATGTGTTTTATACTTATACTACCGCATTACAGGATGTTGCTTAGATATTAGATCAACCAAACTGACATGTGAAAAACAATTAAGTAGAGAATGCATTGCCATCAAGAAGTGTTTTTATCTGTCTTGTAGGGCTGAAATGGAGCCTGTTTCCTATGTGAACCACCCCAACAACCAACAATACCCTCAACGACAGAAAGTCCCAGATTACTCCAACAACAGGTCCTCTAAGAGCATGGATTTAGGTATGCAAACACACACATATACCACATCTACCAGAAACTACCCACAAAATAATGTCCAGATAAAATGAACTACATCTTTTGGACATAGTTTTTACACCCAACTCAATTAAGCAAGGCTGACCAGCGCAAATATATACGCAAAATCAGTAATTCCCCCATCTTACAGACCGGTTTTCAGTGCTAGGATGGAGCAAACTACCACAATCTAGCATACTATACTGGGACTGTTCAGTGCTATCTCTGTGCATTTATCGCTTGGTTAACTTAGATTGTGGGAGGTTGGTCAATAAGACGCAGGTTTTTGAAGTGAAATGGTGTGTGTTATAGTGTTGCAACTGTTCTTAAAGCCTTATAGAAACGGTTATACTGAGACTTTTTAAGGTTTTGGTCTGTATTTCTGAACATAGTGGAAACCGATTGCCTTCAGTGCAAAATAAAGCCCTATAGCTACACATTTCCCAGTATTCGCCATGGATGACCCCGATAACTTATCCTCTCTCTTTTCCACCGGCTTCGGAAACATGAGGGATATTTCTGTGCTCCACAGTGGGAAGTTTTCGCCCGTTTCCAATTACATTTCATTAGGGTGGAGTATTGGCTTCAGCGCCACTGCCACTGCGCTAATCTCCTCACTGCTGAAAGCTGATTGGTTTTCATTACCCACATCTCATAGTGTCTTGCTTTGCTGCCATCTTTTATCCTCTATCCAGACCTTTTCCCCTCTATTTATTTCTTTATCTTTCTCTCTCACTTTTTCGTTTTGTTCTTTAAGTTACTCTTTCAATTTTTCTGTTGTAGGCTTTGTGGCCTGTGGTTCAGTTGCTGTTTCTTTTTGTCCTTTTTTTATGTCTTTGACCTTTTTTCATTTCTTTTTGTCCTTTTTTATTTCTATTTAAATGAATGTATACACTATTTATGTAGTTTTTTAAACTGAATAAATGTAAGTCTTTAAAAATGTCCTTAAGAAGAATAATCATATTGTTACATTGGCATCAGCATTAGGTCATTCACTAGAATTCACTTTTATAATTTTTAGATATATCATTTTTTATGTATTTTATATTTCTTTTTTCATTTAACATTCAAAATAAAACCATATTAATTTAAAAAAAGGATTATTCACTAAAGGTACATTAGGGTGCATATATGTGGTTGCTTATATTTTGTTTTAACTAAATTATTTAAAGTTCTTAGATAAAGCTGTAAAATGCATGCAACTTTCATAAACGATTACCATCAAAGGGATTGTTTTTGGAGGGTTTTGGGGTAATGGATTTCCAGTCAGGGTCATCTGTAATACGACTGAAGTGGAGAGCAATTTCAGACATTTACTCTAGCATTAACCGCTGTCAGCGTAATACAGGTCATTTATATCCAAATACAAAAATAGCCAGCATATTTATTCATTGTAAATTACAAGCATTCTACAACCCTTTAAGGTAATATATCCATCACCCAAGGGTCCACTTTTCTTGTCCTCAAGATGCATAATTTCAGTCTGGCTAATGTTTTCCTCTGTGATATTGCGAAACGTTGAAAGACAAAGGTTTTCTTCAGTCAAGCGTGATCCCTGTGAAAGATTTGGCTGGAGTTTTGGCTCGGCTCGAGTCTCTCAGAAAGAGCTTTATTCTGCCAGTCGCATCATTAGCAGCTGTATCTGTTTTTCTGGGCAGGAGTTCATGTAAAAAATGCTCTTAATTTCTCATTTGCTGATTGCTTTCAGGCCATTTACCTTTACTTTTATGCAAAAGTGCACTACACTAGCCAAATGGGGTTTTATCGGAATATGTAGCCTATAACTATATAAAAAAAAAATCTGCAGACCATTTTAGTAAAACCCCCACATTTAACGCTAAACTGTTGTGGGTGGATGCTAGGTCACAGTGTTCCTAAACAGAGGGTCTGAGTGGATCGCTAGAAGGCACTGGGGGTTGCTGTGGTGTTTTGATAATACCAGAATACCAGGCTTTAGGTATTGTTTCTAGGGGATTCTAGATGGTTGCTAGAGTGTTTGGGTTGTAGGCCAAGCCATTCCTAAAAGGTTCTGGGTGTTGCTGTGGTGTTTTGAGTGGTTGCAAGGGTGTTCTGCACATTGCTATTTTGTTTTAAGTGTTGCTAGGATGTTCAGGGTTGCTGCTAGGGTGTTGCTAGGGAATTCTTGATGGTTACTAGAGTGTTTGTGTTGGTGTACTAGAGTGTCTGGGGCATTCCTGGAGAGTTCTTCTGAGTGTTGCTTTGGTGTTTTGGGTGGTTGCAAGGGTGTTCTGCATGTTGCTAGGGTGTTTTGGTGTTGCTAAGATTTCAAGGATTGCTGCTAGATCATTGTTTCGGTGTTTTGGGTGGTTGCTAGAGTGTTTGGGTTGGTAGCTAAGGTATTCCTAGAGTGTTGCTTTGGTGTTTTGAGTGGTTACCAGAGTGTTCGGCACATTTGTAGGGTGTTTTAAGTGTTGCTAGGATGTTCAGGGTTGCTGCTAGGGTGTTGCTAGGGAATTCTAGATGGTGACTAGAGTGTTTGGGTTGGTAACTAAGGGATTCCTAAAGGGTTCTGGGTGTTTTTTTGGTGTTTTGGCTGGTTGCAAGGGTGTTCTGCATGTTGCTAGGGTGTTTTTGATGTTGCCGAGATGTTCAGTGTTGCTGCTGGGTTGCTAAGGAGTTTTGGGTGGTTGGTAGCAAAGGCATTACTAGAGGATTCTGGGTGCTGTGGTGTTTTGGGTGGTTTCTAGGGCATTCTGCATGTTGCTGTGGTTTTCTGGGTGGATGCTGGGATGTTCAGAGTGGTTGCTACGGCTTTCAGGATTGTTGCTAGGTTGTTCAGGGTGGCTGCTGGATTTGGCAAACACAGCTAAATATATAATACATTTTTATAAATGTGCTTGTGAAGGATGTTTTTTTTGTGATCTTTCTTGTGCATGTGTGGTATTTGGATGCGTTTTTCTGCATGCATGAGTGTGACATTGTGTCTGTGTTATGTTGAGTGTGGATAATCCAGATTTGTACGCACTTTCAAGCATTGAAAGGCAAACTATTATCCCCCCCCCCCTCTTTTTTATTCTTCTGTACCTATTTTTTCCCCCCATCAACCCTGTTTGTGTTCTCTCACATACGTGTCCATATTTATACTACACACACGTGTGTAAACCCACACCGGCTTGCACAAGCCTCTCTTCCAGTGTTATTTCTCAGCTGGGGAAATTGAGCTCATAAAAGATGAAAAGGCTTATTTAAGAGAAATTGCAGTGTAATGAAACCCCATTATTGTATCCCATGGTGCAATGCCTGTGGCAGCAGCTGCTCTTCACTGCTCAATCCTGTTTGTGCGGATTAGTCTCTCTCTCACACACAGACACACACTTTCTCGTTTTCACCACTCACACTCAGGCCCACACACTAATAATTCCTTGTCCTCCACGGGGCGCTACTGTAAATGTCTTAGACGTGTCATCGTGGCTTGCATAGATGTAGTCGCTCATATGCACTGCAAAAATCCTGTTTTTTAGTTTTTTTCTGAGCTTTCTTAAAAAAGATACATTTGTTTGAGAGGCAAAATGAAAGGCAAAAATATATTTTATAATATATATTGCTGTTTAAAATATAATATTACTGTTCAAAATTTGTGTCAATTGTGTACTTTTATTTAATAAGGATGCATTCAATTGATCAAAAGAGACAGTAAAGACATTTTTAATGTTACATTTCTGGTTCAAATTAATGCTGTTCTTTATTCATCTAAGACATTTTTATTAAAAATATGTAGCAGCTCAACTGTTTTCAATAATAATAATAATAATATTGTTTTGTTGAGGAGCAAATCAGCATATTAGAATGATTTCTGAAGGATCTGAAATGATGCTGAAAATTCAGCTATGCATCACAGGAATAAATGACATTTTAAAATATTAAAATAGAAAACAGCTTTAAATTGTAATAATATTTCACAATATTACTGTTTTAGTGTATTTTAATATCAAATAAATGTAGTCTTGATGAGTAGGAGAGACTTCTTTCAAAAACACAATTAAGATTATACTGATCCCAAACTTTTTAACGGTAGTATAGCTAAGAAAATTACACACAGAACAGACCTTCTGAAGAACATACTGTACACAAAAAATAAATAAATATATATATATATATATATATACACACACAAATATCCTGTTTTTTTCTTTCTTTGTTATGAATTCTGCTATGTGTGCACAATGTAACACGAGCTGTTCAAGTGTGTGTGGTGTGTGTTTAGGCAAACGGCAGATGTTCTCAGCTGTACAGAAGCGTAACTGGCCCTGTACAGCTCTTCCTAATTAAAACCAAGTGTGGCTACTAGAGAGAGAGAGAGAGAGAGAGAGAGAGAGATAGCTACATCTATACACCAGCACACATGTGGAAAAAGATAGAATGGTTGCACTTTATTTTACAGTACGTGTACTTTCCTAAGAAAGTACTGGGTCGTATAAGGTAACTACATGGGTTAGGTTAGGTGAATGTTCAGGGTTAGTAGTACCTAGTTATAACCCAGTTATTGTATTTACTAAGTACATAGTATGTACATGGGGACACTGTAAAATAATGTGCTACCAATAGAATTTAGGAGAAGAGATCTTTCCAAATCCAATGTATTATTCAGTTAGTTTCAGTTTGTTTTTTTAAAGTTTTGTTCTTATAATGGTTCGGTATAATACATTTGACAAGTTATGCTAGGACTCATTTGAGGGGTGATGCATTACAGTTACTTTTATTAAGGGCTATATAAAAGAAGTTTTGTGGCTTTCACCCTGCTGAAAAAAGCCTAAACCAGCATAAGATGGTTTGCTAGTCTTATCTGGTTTCCTTATAGGCTTATGTTTGTCAGTTGGCTGGTTTTAGGAACGTTTAAGCTGGTCAGACTGGGAAACCATCTGGCTCCCAGTTAAACCAGCTGAACGGCAGCTTGGCCAGGCTTGAAGACCGGTTTAAACCTTCTAAGTTTTGTTTAAACTCTGAAGTTTGAAGCTGTTGATATGCTAATGTCAACCAAATAAGCTAACAATAGAAGTGCAAATGTTTAAAAAGTATTACTGTAACACACAAACTTTACAATTGTTAATGTGACCCTGCACAGTCTGGGAGACACAAGTGAGAATTTAAAGGATGTTTTATGTTTGTGTGTTTCAGTGTCGGATGAGAGTAACATGGCCTCCTTTCAAGGACAGCGAGCCGGTAAGAATTTGAACACACAAAAACTCGCACCACATATTAAAGAAACAAGCCACATAAGGACATGATTTTACTACGGTTAAGGAGTTTTGTTTACCCCCTTAAGTGTGGTAAAATTCAATTTATTTGAATGAACAGCAGCAACAGAAATATGATAAAAGACACCAGTGTTCAATATGTAATTATGTTATTAATAAGCAATACTTACAGTAAACAATTCCTCTGCCAAGTTGTAGAGTTTATCAGCCTTGCAATGTCAGTTCCATCATACTGCTTTAATAGCCAACATCTCATTTATGGTCAAACGCTACAAGACTGGCACTAGATCAAGCATGCGATCTGTAAAGCGCTGTGTTAGTTGACTCACAGGCCAGTAATCTGACCCCGGATCAGTGACTGTGTCTCAGCCAAGTCAAATGAAGATAAACGGAGGGCGACTGCTGCCCATTTGTAGTCTGTCAGTTGAGTTGAGAGAGTGAGTTGCTGTAAGGAGGGATTGGGTTAGTGGAGGAAACACACACACACACACACACACACACACACACACACACACACACACACACACACACACACACACACACACACACACACACACACACACACACACACACACACACACACACACACACACACACACACACACACACACACAGTGAAAACATTGACCACAAGGTACAAGACCACAAACACCTACAGACTCTCTTCCAAAACCCGAGTTTTCAGGAAAAATCAACAATAATACATGTCAGAATATAACATTTTCGGTCTGGAAAACAGTTTTGCTGATATTAAAGTTTAAGTTTTTTTTATGCTTTATACTTATACAGTACAATACCGGTCAAAAATCTGGACTCCAAGTCTCTTATGCTTATCAAGCCTGCATGTATTTGATCAAAAATAAAGTAAACAACAGTAATATTGTGAAATATTATTACAATTATGGCTACATAACAAAAATGATGGTTTTCTATTTTAATATGCTTTAAAATATAATTTATTTCAGTTCAATTCAATAATTTTTATTGCCATGTCAACAAGTTGATAGAAATTTGTCTTGGTACAACTCTCAGACATAAATAACCATAAATAACCATTCTGTGATGCAAAGCTGAATTTTCATCAGTCAACACACACACACACACACACAATCATAGTTGTACTGTATGCGTAAACTCAAACACATGTCATTGGATCCTAAATTGCATCAAAATCCAAACCACATGCACACAGTGAAAGCAGTGACCACAAGGTACAAGACCACAGACACCTACAGACTCTCTTCCAAAACCCGAGTTTTCAGGAAAAATCAACAATAATACATGTTAGAATGTATAACAATTACATTCAATAATTTTTATTGCCATGTCAACAAGTTGATAGGAATTTGTCTTGGTACAACTCTCAGACATAAATAACCATTCTGTGATGCAAAGCTGAATTTTCATCAGTCGACACACACACACACACACACACACACACACACACACACACACACACACACACACACACACACACACACACACACACAATAACACCCCAATCATAGTTGTACTGTACGCGTAAACTCAAACACATGTCATTGGATCCTAAATTGCATCAAAATCCAAACCACATGCACACAGTCAATTTAACGGCTCTCACAGCATGTGCCTGCATAAAAAAAACATACACAGACAAATTTACATGCATAGTCTTCACGCGACTGTTTTGTATACTTCTCAGGGGTCAGGGACAATGGTAAATACATGAAAGGCTGATTGGAGTGTAGTTTTACAGATGTGGGATCCGATAGATATTGACAAGCTGCAGGCTATTCTGCTGACGCACTCATTTTTCTCTCTTCCCTCTGGCACGCTCTACCTACGCCAGACTCCTTTATATGCTCTGACATATTTCATTATTAGGATGGTCTTGAAGACGTGGCCGCTCAGAGTTTAATCTGGCTAAAAACCCCTAGCTAGTGCTGGCCAATACTCTCTCTCTCCTTGCATCTGCTTTGCAGTAAACGCAATATTTTTAAATGGATTTTTCCTGTAAATTCACCGTCTAGTCCAGTATTGTCTCTATTATTATTATTATGATCATTATTATTAATAGGTTTTTTGTGGTGTCTACTAAATGTTTTAGTAAATATGTTTTAGGTAATTTATTATTAATTAAAAAAAATCTAGCACAGTAATAATGTTATTTATCCATAATGTCAAAACCAGATTTATTGCCTTGACTATTAAATGCCAGCCTTCCCTTAAGCAACCTAGAAAAAAAACATTGCACTCATGTGATGTTCCCTTTATGGTAAGTAACAAATCATATGACTTGCGTGTCTGTGAAAATTGTATCCAGGAAACCATAATCCATTATTTCTATAAAGAGTTCATAAGAAAGAGGTGGTTGCTAAACCACTAAATATAACTCTAAAGAGAGAGTCTTAGGTGTTCTGAGAGAATGAGTGAAACAGTCTTCACTGTTAATGCTCATATTGAGCTTTAGATATTATTGTAAAAAAACAATAGTGAAGCATAATAGTTAATAGTCTAATAAAGTGTGTGTGTGTGTGTGTGTGGTTAAAATATACACAACATACACATAGGGTCCACAATGTTTTGCTTTACTTGTTAATGGTGAACTTATTAGAAAATATTTTGAATGAAATGAGACCGTATTCTGCATTGTTTGATTAAAATCAAGCAATTTTGACTTTCTACCATGTAAAGTTAAGCTGTATTTTCAAAAGAAAAGATAACATTTACAATCTTTATAAATGTTCCAATTGACATTTATACCTTACATATTAAATGCTGGGTACTTCTTAATCACTATTTTGTTTATTTATATAAAAAAAAATATTAAAAAAAAAATATATATATATATATATTATTTGTTTAATGAGGATTTAAAACCAGCTAAGTTTTCTTTAAATTTTCTTTAATATTCATTCCATTTTCCAACCAGTCACAGGAATGAACATTTGGACTGTTCTCCTCGTAATTTCATTTTCGATAACTCTGCTACGCTATATCTCCCATATAAACTTGAATATTTTCTGTGGAGGTGAAAGCTGTTAGATGATGCTCAACAATCACTGACCTCTTATTTGATTCCTGCGTAAGGATCAAATAGTTGTTCTTAAACTGCGATTTTAACCATGCGTTATGTTGCATGGCTGAATCATGCACAATAATACCAGGAACATGAATTTAGCTTTCATTCTTTTATTTCAGCTATAAATGCTACTTTTATTGTTTATGTGTCCAAATTAGTGGAGTATAACTCATCTTTTTGCTAGCAACAAAGCACCGTGTATATGTTTGTATAGTCTGTGGTTGGCATGAAGAGCCGAGTCCCGGTGTGCAGGAGAAGAGAACATGTCCATTAAGAGGATAGATGAAAGATGCTGGAGGCTTCGCTCTCTCTCACCGGCTTTCCTCCAACACTCCTACACTTTCCTGTGGCACCTCTCATCCAAATGAAGACCACTCATAGAGCCTGCATTGCTCACGGGCTCTGCTCTGCTTTAGTTCACAGTTCATCTCTTCATTCATCTCTCTTCCTCTTCTTGTAGGATCTGCCGTTCGCCGGCTTCGGCCCTGCAGCGCTGCTTCTTCTGATTTGTTTGTTTTTGTCTTCGTCTCATTATTTTCCCTTTTCATGATAATGGCAGGATACAGGTATCCGTCTGCCAGATAGACTTCGCCAATTACAGTTTTATTTCCTATGAACTTGTCCAGATGACTTTCCCGTCTCGCTGTCGTTCTCTTGGTCTGATTCTGTTCCTCGCTCGTCTAGTTTGCTGTAGAGAGCAGAGAGCAGCCATGTTGTGCTGGTTTAGACTGATTTATGTAAGCATCCCAGAGAGGGCCGTCTGTGTCGAATATGTGTGTGTCGGCACACATGAGTGCAGTGCTGTGGAAATTAAATCTGCATTTTAAACATTTCTCTGCTTAGATCCTAATGATTACAGCTGCATTTTGTGGAAATGATATAGATGTATCCAATGCTTAATTTGTGCATAATGAAATTCCAGAACAAGGACCGGTCATGGATCCCAGAGTTTGTTTATTCTAACGTTTGTTTATTCCAACTTAATTTCAGTTTAAATACACTACCGTTCAAAAGTTTGAAATCAGCATGATTTAAAAAAAATTATAATAATGATAATAATTACATGGATTTTAAAACAATATTTATATGTTCCTAGAGGTTCACTTTTAATGTTAATTGAATTTTTTTTTTTACAAAAACAAAACAAATATATATGCGGAAAAACAATTTTCATCCTTCATTCTGACCCTCTGTCTGAAATGATCCGTTTTTAAGGGCGGCTCCTTTAAGGCTGGTCAGTAAACGGCCACTGTTATGATTGGCAGTGCTATTGCACGTTAATAGGTGTTTTTATCCATGTAAAACATTATAAAACCATAATTTACAGCCAAAGCATTATGAAATCATTTTTGTGATGCAGCTGCTGTCAGATCCAATACTTTTGGCTGCTTCATCTTTCGACAATCTCTCCATCACACTGTGCCTCGTAACCAAACCAAATGCTTCGAACAAACATATAATCTTCCGACTGGATCCGAGACGCCAATAAAATAAACCATCCGCTTGTTTTCAGATGCTGGATCCTTTTGACGTCTTTACAGAGACACAAACAAGCTGTTGAAACTGAGCGAATGTTCTTTCACTCTTCCATTTGTCCTGTTGTCGACAGACTCAAATGCTCAAGTGTCAGCCATTAAGCAACTGAACGCCAGTGGGCGGGGCCTCTGCCGTGATGATGTATGTCTATTCGTCGATGTCTTGCTCTGGCATATGCAAATGTATTTGCCTGTGTGACGTCACAGATCCTGCAACATCAAAACAAGCCATTTTTGGAGCTTAATTAAAGAAATAAATGATTTGTTTATAATAAGGAGGATGCTTGCAGTGGTTCTCAAAGGGGGGTGGGGGTGGGGAGGGGGGGGGGGGGATTTTGGGCGCAAGAGATCAGCAGAAAAAAAAAAAAACAGCCATTGCAACGACGTTCAAGTGCGTGAATAGCGGTCAGCGCTCTGTCTTAATAAAGCAACTGCAATTACACTGAATCACATATTTTTTAAAAGGTTTAAGGGAGGGGGGGCGTGGCGAAAAAAGTTTGAGAACCACTGCTTTAAGCTTTGACACTTGCAGGATGTTTTAATGGTACAAAGACCTCTTATATGTCAAAAGATCAAGGCAAATTTGATTTCTCATGTCATGACCCCTTTAAGCAAGGATCATGCATTAAATTGATGTACTGAAAATGTCTTCTCAATGTCTTCTACTGTCTTCATAAAGCTGTTGCTGGTGTTTTATAAAAGTTAAATGTTACTGTGATTTTTACAGTGATTTTACCACAGCTAAACTTTGTTTTTGTGCTTAGAAATGCCATTTAACTATAGTAAAATTATGTACGTGCTTCAGTGGCTTATTGTTTTATTATTCTTTCACATTTTTAAGTGCTGCTCTGTGAACGAAAAATAGTTCTTAAAGGGATAGTTCAGCCAAAAATGAAAACCCTGTCATCGTTTACTCGCCCTCATGTCGTTCCAAACTCAAATTACTTTCTTTCTCCTGAGGAACACAATTGGGAAACTTCTCCTTTTGTGCTCCATGTAAGGGTTTGGAACGACATGAGAGTGAATAAAAGATGACAGCATTTTCATTTTTGGCTGAACTATCCCTTTAAAGCTCTTTCCTGCATGACACTTTTTACCTCTGAAGCACCAAGCACTTCTCTTTTCTTCTTTCCCCTGTCTTTCTTTTGCCCTCCCAGTGTTTGGAGCCCTTGGATTTGTTCTATTCCTCCATTGTATTCTCTTGTTTGTGCTTGTTCTAATCCCTCACCTTCTCCTCCTGCTCCTGTTGCCCTTGTTCTCCGCCATTTGGATTGTTTACGGCCTCATATTTGTTCTTCATCTCTCGGTACTTCACTTTATGTTCCTCTCCCCTGGACTACTACTACTGCTACTTTTCAGTTTAATATTCCTGCACCTTTGCAACACCTCATTTGTTCTGTGATGCTCTTTCACCCTCACCTTGAGGTTTCGTCATCCACCCTTCTCTAGTCCTCTTCCTCCACTACAGACGTCTTTTCATATTTCATATCCGTCTGTTCTTTGAAAGCGTCCAGATCCATTAGACTTTCAGCACAACTGTTGCATTTTCAGTTCACAACTTACAACCACCCTGTTGAAAAGATCAGCTTAGACCAGGTGGAATCTCCTTGGTGTCCCAGGCTAGTCCTCATTTGAGATATATATATATATATATATATATATATATATTAGGGCTGTCAAATGATTAATCGTGATTAATCACATCCAAAATAAAAGTTTTTTTTACATAATATATGTGGGTGCACTGTGTATAATTATTTTATATATATATAAATACACACACATGCTTGTATATATTTAAGAAATATTTTCATGTATATACTGTATATAAATTTATATATAATTTATATTATACAATATTTTTTTTCTTAAATATACATGCATGTGTGTGTATTTATATATATATACAAAATAATTATACACAGTGCACCCACATATATTATAAAAAAAACTTTTATTTTGGATGTGATTAATCGTGATTAATCATTTGACAGCCCTAATATATATATATGATGGTGCTGGTCTTTTCAGCAGGACACTACTATATGCTACGTTTCTAATCTTGAGCTCATCTTCAAATCTTCACCCTTCATTACCATCCTCCATCCCTCCATCACTGACATCCCTCCATCTCCCCGTCTCAGAACCCCGCTCCTCTAACGGGACGGCGCTGGGACCCAGGTTAGGTCTTCAGAAGTCCAGTTCTCTGGAGAGTCTCCAGACAGCGATGGAGGAGGTCAGTAAGGACGAGGTGCCCTTCCACCGTCCTCGCGCACACATGGTCAGAGGCAGAGGCTGCAACCTCAGCTTCCGCCACGCCATCGACAAGTCCTACGAAGGGCCTTCTGAACCCGAGGATGGTGAGTTCTGTGGAAATAATCAAATGCAGCATTGAGTAAATAATTCAAAGAAACTTATTTTTAATCATTAGAATAATGTAGACTAGGTTATTTTAGCATTATTTATATAGTGTTATATTAGAAAGTAATAGTTTGAATTAGAATTTTATAATTTCAGTGTTCATTTTAATTTGAGGTATTTAATTTTTGTAATGCGTGTCATTTTTTATATATCTGTTTAGCTTTATTTTAATTTCGGTTTTAGTCATTTTAGTACTTTAGTTTAACCGACTATATTTCAGTTAGTAAGGTAACGGTTTACATTTAAAACAAAATCTAATATTTATATTTTATTTTAGCTTTATTTCAATCAACGAGAATTAATCAACGACAATTAACAATAACAACCATAATTCATTAAAATAATTTATTTAAATATGAATAATGTGATTTTTATTATTAATTTATATATACGCACATTAATAAGAATTTAGGTAAAACATTTATTAATATGTATCTTAATGTATATTTTTAATTTAATTCTGCCTAGTCAAATTTATTCCAATTATTAAAAAATACATATTTATATAATATTTATTAATGTATTAATATCATATTTTATTTACAGTTAAGAATAGATTTATTAATATGATAATGATAATTTGATTGATTATTAAGTTTAAGTTAATGCTTAATTTGTGTTTTAACTGATCATGACAACAACCAACATGAAATATAATCTTTTTAATTAGTGCACCATCGATTGATTATGTCTAATTCTACATAACTCTTTTTATGTCCTCAAATATATTGTTAATGTTATTCTATAGTAGTGTTTTCATTTAAACAGAAGGCCTTCAGTGGGTTTCTGCAGTTATTGCTCACAACAGCAAAAGTACACTAAAGTGTGTGTGCACTGCATACCATTTAAAGCATTTTGCTGAGCACAGTAGCGAGATTTTCACGAGTTCTGCCAAACATGTGCTAACAGTTACAGCTGCATAGCACTCCTTCTCACTTTGCCAAAAGTGCATCTGCACCCTTCATATTCATTACTCTCATCAAAAAAAAAACCATACGCTTAGAATTCTCTACATGCAGTTTGTCCTCATTGTAGCATATGCTGTTGCACTGTGGAAATGAAAGTCAAAATTCATTATTGGACAGTATTCCAAACAAGATGTAAAAGGGTTTCATGTTGACTTTAAAACTTCTAAAGTTGAGTGTGGTTGACGCTCCCTTAGCTCATTTGAGAGATGAATTTGACTCTCGGTGACTGGTTGGGCTTTGTGAGCCAGTGAGGAGTGAATCAGCAAATGCATCAGTATCACGGATTTCTGTCTGAAACTCCAGCAGCAAGTCAGCACATTCAAAGGCACGGATCAACCCTGCTCTTTCTCATTGACATTAAAGACCCCTTCTAAATGAGAAATAGAGACAGAACCTAAGCAATAGCCAGAGCCTTCGATTGGAACCTATAAGGTGTCAGACTTCATGAATAAATGTCGAGCTTTCTGCACCCTTAGAGGAGGTGCTGGATGAATGGAGGTTTATGGATATAAGCTTTAGTAACAACCTTTCCAGTGCAACAAGAGACACTGAGGGTGAATCGCACCGAAAAATGTCCAGGCCACATTTCACATCAAAAGCAAAAATAAATAAGTAAATAAAACAAATAAATAAACTAATAAATAAATAAACATTTTCCATAAGAAAATGAAGCATATTTTGGGTGCATTAAGGATGCAAATATTATATAATTATATATAATTATATTATATTATATTATATTGTTATAAATATAATTTAAGGGCAATACAACAACAAATATTTTTTTGTTTTTTGTTCACATTGCAGCAATGTTTTGCATTATGGTAACAGGATTTTGTTGAGAAAATGTATACAAAATGCAACAAAAAAAATCATTAAAGTAATTTCTTTCTTTTTTGTGAAATATGACAGGCTTTAAATAGATGAAAATAATGAATTGCTATTTAATCTTAATTTTTTTTCTGTTTGATTTGTTTTATTTTCAAATTTGCTGATATGTATCTTTTATATGCTTATTTTTCTTTAAAAAAAGGCTTGAATGTGTCATTTTGAATGCATATGACTTTTACGTTTGACTTGAAGGTAAATATAACATAAAGAAAGACTCTTCATCATTTACTGACAAGCGAGAGTCTGTTTCGGAGCTTGTTGTTTGGTTCCTTCTGATTAGATGACATTAGGAGTTTGCTCATGTCTGTGTCTTTGTTCTTCACCAACAGACTCTGAGGAAGAGTCGGGAAGAGACACTCCCGCCAGCGGATCCTCTCGCCAGGAACTGGATGATGACAACAAGGTAAAGAAAAAGAAAACCAAAAAGAAGAAAGAGAAAAAGAACAAAAAGAAGGAGGAGCCCGAAGACCCCGAGAAAAAGGCAAAGAAAAAAGGATTTGGATTGTTGAGGTACGAGACTGACTGCTAGAAATTCACACACATCACAGTTTCACTCGAGCATAACGTTACAAAGGGAAAATCTTCATGACAAATGCAGTGATTTGTGTCAAATGATTCCCCATAAAGTGTTTGGATGCAGCTTTGCAGCTCTTAAAGGCCATATCATGGAAACAGGACTATCCTGGGTCTTTTGAAATGAAGGAGTCTAAATTTGTCCCTGTGCTGATCCATTGATATAGTGAGGGTGAATAATGGGCCTCCTGACGCAGCTGCATATGGAGGCCTTCCGGTTATTTCAGCACCATGGTACTTGAGGACAAAACAAGTGAACTCACCATATGCTGTCTTTGTGTGATTTTATAAATATAGGCAAACATATAAGATGACAGACATACAGTGAAACCCATGTCTTTAAATGAGATCGACAGGCTTGCGTTTGAGGGTTTTATATTTGGACTTCATGCATAATCCCTTCCCCTCTTGACGGACATGAGAACTCTTTTCATGTATGAGATGAAAGATAATTGAATGGCAGTGGATGTCTCTCTAAACTATAAAATAGACCTATTTTAAATCTCCTCTGTGAGGACTGACCCCTGTCCAGCTCTTGACTGTCAATTGATCAGCTTATACTTGTGTTTTCATGGAAACCTTCCTTTTAAAGTAACACTATGTAGTTTTTCAACCTTCATAATATATTTCCAAGACCCTTGTGATGGTACATCGACTTAAAATAAGTTAAATGACACGTCTGCCATAACCTGACGTGGTCTGTATCGCTTTTACTGGCACTATGTAACTTCGGGTTTCGGGTAGGAACCCGTGCACAAAAAGAACTACAAAATTCGACTGCTTTACGGCATACGTCACTTCCCCCACCACTTCCTCAAATTGTCTGTGGCCATTGCAGACATCCCAAGTCTCCCGGGAGTCTCCTGCGTCTCCCTGATGCCCGCAAATTAGTTCAGATCTGCCGGAATCTAGAGCGCGCATGCGAGACAGAACATACTGCGCGCATAACATACATAGCGCGAGCACGGCAGAGAGAGAGAGAGAGCGAGAGACCTTGCTTGCGAGTGTGCCTCACGAAAGCTAGTCAACCCGCCACCAGCCCCCACCCCCGTCAACAATCCAGTCACCAAGATATACCTCCCTGAAATGACTTCTTGCAGGTTGGGATGTCTGCCATTGTTGATTCCAAAGCCGGTGCTGGATAAACAGCGAGCGTGCGCGTGCGACAGTCGGCTGCGGAAGGCTAAATTATTTACGACAGCAGTAATGGACAATTCTGCTTCCAACCTGTAGGGCGACCGCTGAGGAAAAATCACATGGTGTCAGAGATGGGGACTCGAGTTTGAGACTCGGACTCGAGTGCGACTTAAGTCCCACACACAGTGACTTCAGACTCGACTTGAGACTCGTCCTCGAAATACTTCAGACTCGACTCGGACTCGAGCTGCGGGACTCGTGAACAATGTTTATTTTTAGGAAATGTCTGATGAGCTCGCTGTTATCCCCCTCCCTCCGTTACAGCCTGCCTACGTAACCACGTACTACGTGGCCTATTGCTGGCAGCGCGCGCGCGACCACACATGAGAGGAAAACAAACAAAAAGTTCGACTGCACCGGCCGCTGCTGTGCCATTCATCGTTAGCTTTGGGTTCAAAAACTTCAAACAAGAAGCGCTCAATGCAAAATATGCAGTATCACGATAAAAGATTCTGGCTCAACTACATCTAATTTTATCAGGCATCTGAAAACGCACCCTGATAGGTGAGTAAACATGTTTAGCTCAGCATTGACCATCTACCGTTAGCTTGCTTATTGCTTTAGCTACCTAACGTTACGGGAGGTTAACTCCGATTGTCTTCCTTATGAAATATGAATGAGCGTTTGTTTAATTGCCAAACTTGTGGTGGTCGATTAACGTAACGTTAATCATTTACGTGCCGCTGGCTGCCCGTTGTCTACAAACAGGTTACAGGATTATTGTTGATCATGTAACGTTACAGTTTCATTTAGTTATAACGTTACACTGGTTTGAGAGTCTGGGATGTGTTGACTTACAGTATATAAGCTATGATTAGTTGCATAGGCAGTGCAGCCAGAAGAAGCCAGAAATGTTTTGTGGCCCATAGTGTGTTAAGAGAAGAGAAGGTTAACCAGTCTGATCTCACCCTTTGGATTTTTTTTATTTCTAAACATTTTGTTCTTAACAAGTTACATGCCATAAGTTGGTCAGTTGCTTCACATTTACACTAAAGATTTTGAGCATTTTAATGTTTTGGAAGTTTGGAAGTTAGTTTATTTGCATTTAGCTACACTGATGTTTTGCACTAAATAGGAGTGTGTCAATTTTAGTGAGTTATATCATTTTCTATATTTGGTCTTATGTCTTGGTATGTTCCAGCTACAAGGCAAAATAAAGAAATTAACTAAAGGTAAAGCATTCTTGGTGTTTTTGTCATGTTGCAATAGCCTGTTTATACTGATTATATACCAAAATCAAAGCTGATACTGTATGCTAATAGATAAAGGAGTCATAATAACATACCGTACCACTTTATTTTGATAGTCCACTTTATACATTCTACTAACTATAAGTAACTTTGCAGCTGCATGTCAACTAACTCTCATTAGAGTAATAATAATAATAATAATAATAATAATAATAATAATAATAATAATAATAATAACTTTATTTTATATAGCGCTTTTAAAAGTTAATTCTCAGAGCGCTTTACATAAGCACAATTAAGAAAACACATAAAAGAGGCAATAATACAAGCAAAGTGTTGACAAAATGAAGCAAAGTGTAAAAAAAAAAAAAAAAAAAAAAAAAAAAAAAAAAAAAAAAAAAAAAAAAAAAAAGAGAACCATAAGATACACCTCATTAACAACCACCAATATCACCTTTATCCAAATGCTTCCGTAAAATAATGAGTTTTAAGGGATGATTTGAACCTTTTCAAAGATGGAGCACATCTTATTTTAGGGGGCAAGGAGTTCCATAACTTTGGGGCAACTGAAGCGAACGCCCTATCACCCATTGTTTTTTTTTTCGTTACCGGGACAACTAAGAGACCTGCATCAGCCGAGCGGAGATTACGTGTTGGAGTATAGGGCACTAAAAGCTCGACGAGATATTGCGGAGCGAGTCCATTCAATGCCTTATATGTCAACATAAGAATTTTAAAATCAACACGAAATTTAACAGGTAACCAATGCAAGGTCTCTAAAATAGGTTTTATGTGATCCCTTTGTCTTGTCCTGGTCAGAATACGTGCGGCAGAGTTTTGTACCCACTGAAGTTTGTTCAGAATAGTTTTTGATGCTCCTGCTAGCAAGGCATTGCAATAGTCAATTCTAGAAAAAACCAGAGTGTTAATTAATTTTTCTGCTACAGGGAAAGACAGCATGGGCCGTAATCTGGATATGTTTCTAAGATGAAAAAAGGAAACTTTGACAGTATTACGTACGTGAAGATCAAATGCAAGATTAGGATCGAAAATTACTCCCAAGTTTTTTAATTTAGATTGGAACTGAATTACCAAGCCATCCACATGTAACGATACAGGTTGTACTCTGCGTAAATGGTGAGGCGAACCAATAAGCATCACCTCAGTCTTGTCGCTATTTAAACATAAAAAGTTTGCAGACATCCAATTTTTAATAACTGTGATACAGTTAGAAAGATGTGATACGGCCACATTTACATCAGATTTTGAGTGAACATATATCTGGGTGTCGTCCGCATAAAAATGAAAATCAAGATCCAGAGACCTCAAAAGCTGGCCAAGAGGAAAAATATATAGAGTGAAAAGTAAGGGACCCAAAATTGAACCCTGAGGAACACCAAATTTTACCATGCCAACGTCAGATCTACAGCCACCTAGCACAACGAATTGTTTGCGATCTAAGAAATAAGACTTAAACCAACTCAAAGCAGTGTCAGATACACCAAAGACAGACTCTAAGCGCAAGAGTAAGATGCTATGATCAATAGTATCAAAAGCAGCGCTGAGATCAAGCAGGATCAGTATTGATAAGCATCCTGCATCGGAAGCCATCAGTAAGTCATTTGTAACTTTGACTAATGCTGTCTCAGTGCTATGCTTTTTACGAAAGCCAGATTGAAGAGACTCGAAGAGGTCATTTACTGACAAATGGGCAAGCAATTGTGAAGCAACAATACGTTCTAAGATTTTAGCAATAAAAGGGAGACTAGAGATGGGACGAAAATTTGCCAGATTCTCAAAGTCACTGTTATTTGTTTTTGGAACAGGGGTTACAGCAGCAATTTTAAGTGCAGATGGCATAACACCGTAAAGTAGAGAGTCATTTACAATACTTAATACAGCCGGACACAAACAAGAAAAGCATGACTGAAACAACCCAGCTGGTATGGGATCCACACCTGTAGTGACAGCCTTCATTTTTAAAACCACATCACACAGGGATTGAGAATCTAGCATGGAGAATTCTGAAAGACAAACACCAGAAAACTCCATGATGCTTGATTTTGGGGTAACAGTTGTACTAGTAGTAGTAATCTGATCTCTTATCCCCTCGATCTTATTGCCAAAAAACACTAGAAACTTGTTGCATAATTGAACAGAAGGAGGGACGTTGATGATGTTATTTCTGTTCAAAAGATTGTTGATAGAATTAAACAGTTTTCTAGGGTTATCTTGATTACTTGCGATAATCTGGGAGAAATGATCAGATCTTCTCGATGCAATTCCAGTTCTATATTCACCCAAACTATCTTTCCATGCCAGATAATACACAGTTAGACCAGTAGAGCGCCATCTGCGCTCCAAATTGCGACACTGAGTTTTCATTGCGCGCAGATCATCATTGTACCACGGGGCAGATCGTTTAAAAGATACAGCACGTGACATCAGAGGAGCAAAAGTGTCCAGGCCAGATGAAAGAATTGTATTCAACCAGTTTACTTTATCATCCAATGCATCAGATGGTAGAATACAACTAATAGCAGGGTCAAT